CAATTAAACTGTTTACAAAAACCTCAATATATATATAGTATCACAATATGTATCGCCCAGTGTCGTGATACGATTTTACATCGCCAGATTCTTGCCAATATACACACTTATAATTAATCATGTTCAATTACGATCTTGATTCATTACGACTAATTATAATTATTCCATCGCTGTGATTAATCAGAATAACATTGTTAATTGTTTTTCCAGACTAAATATAGATTATTTAAATGGGTCAAACCATTCAGCTGCCTCCACATCCTGTTAACACAGGGCGTTAAATAGATCAATATCGCTGAACGTCCTGTATAAACTACTGTACACTCAATAATTCTGATGACTTCCATATTTCCCCAGCCACCACTTAAAATGTATAGTTGTAACATTTCATCAAGCCTCTCATGTGAGTACATGACACAAATGCTGTTTCCAGACGGAGAGAAGGAAACAACGAAACACACTTCTGTCATTCAACCATGGATAAAGAACCGTCAACTCCCACCTGCTCTGTGAGTTGAAGCTTTGAGACCCTTCAGATCTGGACGGCCAGTCATCTCCACTGTGCCAAAGCCCTTCCCTCCCAAGTGTCTTTCTCATGGCGGGGGAGGCAGCTGCCCCCCCTGACACTGGTATTGTCGGATGATAGCTGTTGCCGTTTTTTTTGTGATTATCCACAGTCAAATACAGAGAGGAGTGAGAGGAAAGAGAAGCAGAAATGTGGGAGGAGTTTTTCCTCTTCTTGGTTCCCACTTCGGTGTCCTCCTCCTTTCCTTTCGGCGAACGACCGGTTTTATGGGCTCCATTACGGGCTTTACCGGATATCGGGGTGTGGGCGGCATCCCGGATGCTGAACAGCCCCGTCGTGGATGTGGACTGAGGGAAAGTGGCCGTGTGAGGAGAGGAGTCAGAGGGCAGGAATACAGATGTAGGAGAAGAGGTCAGCTGTGGTGTGACGGAGGACGTGGAAGACGGGGAGAGGGGGGTGTGGCTCTCAGCAGCCAGAGGCACTTTCCTTAACGCACATAGAAGAGAAAAAAAAAAAAAAAATTAGTCAATAAACTTTGAAGTTCAAGGTCAGACGCACATAGAGAAAAAAAAAAAAAAATCAGTCAATAAACTTTGAAGTTCAAGGTTAAGTCATTAGAAAACTTGCTTCAGAATGATGAAATATTTAAATTGAAAAAAAAGAGAAAAGATTTATGTACATTTATACTGTACATTTATACATATATATATATATTTATATATATACTGTATATACATTTACATTTTTTTAATTTAAATTTTCCTCCATTCAACAAAAGAGTGTGACCTTTATTAGTAAAGCCATAATTTAGTGAAATTAAAAATATTATATAATAATAATAATATTGGTTGAATTGCTTACATTTACTGAGTTAATGAATAAATACATCCAGCATTATACTTGACACATTGGGGGAAATTAAAATAGTTCATACAGGCAAAGAATAAAGTGCAGCAGCCAATAATGAGCAGAGGCGGATTTGAAGAGCAAAAAGAGAGCGATCTTAAAGCAGCCATTAATCGTCTTCCAATTATAAAATCTCATCATAAAAGACATCGCTTCAATGTGACATAATTACACTCATTGCTTTCAGTACTCACTGGGATTCTTGCAGATTTTTTAACTTCTTTTTATAACTCTGTTTATTTTCACTCCTGCCGAGTGTGATTCAAATGGTTCTCCTTTTCACTCTTCCTGTTTCATTTGAACATTAAAAAAAAAAGTTGTTTACCTAAAAACGCTGAATTCTGTTCCTCCATGAGAACAAGTGTCTTTTCCTCAAATTCATTTACAGTACCAGCAAGACTAAACCCTTAACCATTTGTATGAGGATTACATTTCCAATCTGTTTCATTTGGTCTTTTTTTTTTTTTTTTTTTGCAGAGAGATTAAACGCAGATGAGCCGTGTTCATCAAACATCCCGCTGTTCACACCTACCTCCACATCTGTGCGTTGAGGTGTTTCTCCAACATGCTCTGCAGGACCAGCCTCATCTTGTCCCACCGCCTGTCGAACACGTAGTGTCCGCGTCCCATCAGCCTGCTGCTGAATACGCAGAGCTGGAGGGAGGAGGGGCGAGAGAGGAGAGGAGGGCAAAACACAGAAGGATGTAGAGGGAGAGAGACAGAGACAGACAGAGAGAGAGAGGAGGTAAGGTGATGGAGTGCAGAAAAGGAAGCAGAGAAGGAGGGGCATCGTGGGAGAAAGCCAATGATTTAAAAGGATGTAAAGAAAACAGAGAGGTGGGGAGAGACGGGAGAGAGAGGGAGAGAGGGAGAGAGGGGTGTCAAATGACAGAGAGTAAAGATAGATGATGACAGAGGAGAGGAGGAGAGGTGAGGCCAAAGAAGATTTTAAATTGACATCGCCCGATACAACAGATGATCCATCGTCAGAAAAACTAATATCAACCCCATCAACCAGTGTTACAGTTGAGGTCATTTTAAAGCAAATCCTTATTTAAAAAACAGAGCAGAAAATGATTCCATCACCAGGAGGGACTTAACAGATTTCAACAGGATTGATTTGGACATGAGGAATTTACTTAATTATTACAGTAAGCTTAATAGATCCCACTGTATACAGTTATAATTGTAATAACAATATTTAACTATATATATGTGTGTGTGTGTGTGTGTGTGGGCGTGTGTCAGACTAGAGAATTTCCTCTGCGTGTGTGTGTGTGTGTGCGTGTGTCAGACTAGATAATTTCCTCTGCTCTGTGTCTGATTGACAGGTCAGCTAAACTGGTCAATCTCAGTCGGAGTAATGCCAGCAATGCCTCTAACAGAAAAGTCCAACAGAAAAGTCCGGTTGCAGGATTCAGCCCAGAGATAAAGAAATACAAAAAAAGACTGATATGGTTTCCTCCAAAAAACAGCTAAGACACTGATTTCACAGGGTGACAAGCTAATCTTTGACTAATCAATCAACAAATCAAAGTATCCTGTGGGTGAAAGACAAATGTGTTGCTGTGTGAAGAAGAAGGGCTTTTTAATAATCAGAAGGTTTCTTTAGCAATGGAAAAATGTAAACGTGAGTCACTGCCTCAGAGGAATGTGACTCATGTCTGTCAGTAAATGCCCTGTCATTCTGACATCAGAAAAAGACAAAAACGGTTGTAGAAAATTAGGTGGAGACTTCTGGACTCAAGGCAACTATTTTATTTTGACACAACTGCTGTAAATAAACTGACTTCCTGGCATTAGTCCCCGGCAATTATGAACGGAAATCGTCTCTCGGCTGTGATTGTACTTACCCCCAGTGGCTGTGGGTGGTGGCTGGAGTACTGGAAAGCGGGTCTGTCGTTGTCCTCCGGAGTCTCTGCGTCTCCTTCATCACTGGAGAGCCGCCCACCGTCTCCTGCCGCCGTCACCGAGCTGAGAGGGGAGAGCTCCGAGTTAGGGGCCACAGCAGGGGTCTGTGCCGGGGGCAGAGGACTGGAGGTGGAGGTGATGGAGCTGCCCGGAGCCCTGGAGAAGAATCAGACGGAAGACACGGGAGTGAATAACGTGTAGAATGAAGTGAGGGTCGTGTAAAACAGGGTGAGAAAAACAAACACAGTGAGATAAAGTCGGATTTATATACAACAATGATTTAAGATCCATAAAAGAAACTCAGCTTTTCTTGTACGGTTTAAATCAAATAACACAAGAAAGAGATTGAAATGTTGACAGAAAGAAAGAAAAGGTATAAATAAAGGAATAAAGGAAAAAGACAAAAATAAAGAGAGAAAGCATGAAGGACATAGACAGAAAAATAAAAGGAAAAAAAAGACAGAAATAGGGCAATAAAGAAGAAGAAATGAAGGAAAGACAATAGGAAAAAAAGACAAAAACGAGAAAGAAGGGCAAAAATAGAAAGAATAAAAAAGAAAAAAGTGACAGAAAGAAAGAAGGAAAGAAAGAAAAATAAACAATAACAAAAAGGTAAAACAGATATAGAATGTAGGTTAAAGGCCATGCAGAAACACAGAAGCCATAAAATTAAGAAAAAGTTAAATTATAAATAAAAGTGAAAATAAAAACATACTAAAGTAAATAACAACTAAAAAGTCAACCCAGAAATATATACACAACAAGACACAAGAGCCAGTCCAAACACAAACACAGAAGGAAAATGAAAATCAAACTGAAACATATGTCACATTCACTATAAAGTTAATATTTCCTCCTCCAACAGCAGGCCATAAAAATCAAGTTTTTAAAAGAGCGGGGGACGTGTGTGTGGGGGCACATAAAACCACTGTTTCACTGCTGGCCCCTAGGGTGACCGAGGGAAGGGAAAGACAAATGTTTGGAAAAAGGACTAAGAAAGATGAGTGTAAATAAGTGCGACAGACAGTGTGTCGGGGACTCTCGAAGAAAAGTGAGGGAGGAGAAGAAAAAGGGCAGGAAATGAAAAACAAGGGAGGCTGAGAGAGACATTCGAAGAGCTCATGTCACATCTGCCTTTACACCACAATCAGTGTCAGTGGAACTGTCTGCTGCAGAGGCAGACACCGGGCCTCAGATAACTTCCTTTTTCAAACAGACCATCGTCTTCTAAATAGAAAAAGGAAATGAGTTTCTTCTAACACACTGCCAAAGGCCTGCTCTGACATCATTTTGCTATTGTTTTTTGCTTCCTTGCAATATTGTTGACAGCATCCCCTGGTGGAAAAACACATAAACACACCAGAGCCGCACAGGCTGAGGCTGTACAGTGAGAGAATCCGTGTCATTCCAAACAAGTTATATGTTATATCTGTAGCAATAACAAAATAAATAAATAAACAAAAGTAAAAAAAAAATAATAATTTTTTGCCTTTTTTAAAAAAAACCAAAAATAAAAAATTGCTTAGAAAAGGTTACCTGTTTACTGAATAAAAGATTCAGAATTAGTTACTACTGTAGTCAAGAATACTACGGCTACTTTGGTGTAGTACAGTGATCATCAACACGTGACCCGCAGGCCAAATCCAGCCCGCCAAACCATCCAATCTGACCCGTGACTGAATTCCAAACAAAACTATTTTAATTTCATTTTATTTGAGTGTCAGTCCATTAAGGCATTGTTTCCCAAACACTGGGTTGCGACCCTCAGGTGGAAGATTTTTTTTTTTGTTTGGGTCGTATAATGAATAATGACTATTGATTTGTGTCGTGAAGGTTTGTGACTTTTAAATATGGGTCCCCAGAAAAAAAGTTTGGGAAACACTGCACTAAGGTGTCTGTCCAGAAATATTTCCTTCTGACAAATATAGTTGGTGACCCTTGGAATTGTAACTGTAACAAGTATAGGAACATATTTTAAAAATACCAAATATAATAGAAAATATTTAATTCTAATATATACATATTAAAACAACACCCTTGACCAAAACAGTAAATTAAAAGATTCCAATATTATTGATCAAACTTGAACAGATTAAGTTTATTTAACAGATTAAATATTGCAAGAACATTAAGCAGAAGGTCACATGGTTACGTTACTGAGAAGTACTGACCATTCTAATAATAATACATTCTACTGTTAACACTGCACCTCCTCTCCTACCTGGGTATGTGTGCATTTGCCAGCCGGAGCCTGAGCGTGGACAGGGGTCGACCGTTGGGGCAGTGAGGTTTACTCGGACTCTCCTGTACGCTGGTGCTTTGGCTGCAGCCGTCCTTCCCTCCCGTCCCTCCCTCCTTGTCTTTCTCCTTCACTCCCTCCTTCTCCTTCGCCCGGCCTTTGTGTTCGGCAAGGAGGAGGTCAAAATTCTTCCTCCTGCCTGGGACGGCTCGGCGGTGGGTTAAGGAGTGAGTCTGTAACGAAACACAGAAAAGAGCAGAGAGGTGCGGTGAACGTTCCCGTCATCGTGAACGATCACCTTTGGTTGATGTAGTACATCGTGAACGATCACCTTTGGTTGATGCTGTGCGTAGTGAACTTCTCAACGCTTCCAACAACTTTAGAAAGGAGGCAGCCTTGAAACATTTGGTTTTCCAATAGCTGTGAGAGAGTGTGTGTTTGTGTGTGTGTGTCAAGCTGGTGGAATGACTGGTGTAAGCAGGTTATACTGTCTGAGGGAAGAAAATGGCTTCCTGTACTCATTCACAGGTCACATTAAGGCTAAGAGGCTCTTTACAGAACCTGGAGCCCAGAAGAATGAAATCATTCAAAAACCGAGTGTTGACTGCTACAACCTGAAGGGGGAGTTAACGCACACGTAGCATTCAAAAACCGAGTGTTGACTGCTACGACCTGAAGGGGGAGTTAAAAACAAAAATGACATTTAGCCGTTATTTAGCAAAAGTCTCCAAAGGTCGGGTCGTAATCATGACTAAATATGTGATTAATTAATCCGACGTTATTTAAAAACAATGACTAACTGCACGAATGCAATTTGAAAGGTTATTTTTTCCTTTTCACTCGAAGCAACTCTTAAAGGCCATTTTTATTAATGGCTGATCCTCAGTAAAGGCCACCACTTTGAATGAACTTAAGATTACACAGAGTGAGTAGTAATGTAAAAAACATGAGCTCAGAGTGTCTGGATGAACCTGAGGCTGGAATGACTGGATGTTAAAAATAATTAACGTTGACCTGCTGGTAATTTTTTAGTGTGTATTTTAAATAAAAAATAAAATAAAAAATGTTGGTTACTAGATTGAGAAACTAAGATGTGTACAGCTTTGTTGAAAGACAAAATATTTTCTGCATTTAAACGTATGAATCAATGCAAAAAAACAAACAAACAACAAATTGGGCTGAAGTATTTGTAATGGCTTAATAACCAGATTTAAGCGACGAGCGCAGCGTGTCTCTGGTAATTAAAGGGCAGTGAAGTTGAGTATCACTGCACAGAGAGGCTGGCAGCCTCCGACCACTATTATTAAAGCATCATGGGAAATAGACACCTCGCAAATGTTCAACACCAGGTGAGAAATGTAATACGCAGTTATCACAGGGACAGACAGTGAGACAGGGAGTCCTTTTAATACCACTGATCTCATCAACACAGGCACAGACAGGAAGCAGGAAGTGGGGTCAGAAACTATTATTGTGTTTAGAGGAATGATATGGAGATGCTAAGTGTGTCAGTGTGTGTGTCTGTGTGTGAGTGTGTGTCTTTTCTGTTACCTTGCAGGTGAGGGACCTGGTACACGGCCGTTTTGTCTCGGGGTCCTGGACTCCACAGTGTTTGTTGGGGTCAAACACTCTCCCTGTGACAAAGGCAAAACAAAGACACAAGTTGTAGCAGGTCAACTCCAACATAATAGTGAATACTCATACTCTGTATTTAACAGAGTATGAATAAAGTAACAACAGTAACAACAGTTTATACACATGTGTGGATTTCAATAAAAAAAAAAAAAAAACATGTAATCACTGTTGATTTTAAGTTTTTAAATTTCCTTGAGATTTTAGAAAGATTTTATTATGAACCAAAAAATGATGGTGCAAAAATTCCCCATATTTACTTCAGGCACTGCATACTTAAAAATAAATGTTCGCATGATAGAGGATTTATGTAGTGACACTCATTTTCTCCATCCTATCCGAAGCCGTATTGTAGGTAATAGAAGAACAGAGTTTCCACAACTTGTACTGCTGTGGAAACTCTGTTGACGTATACAGGAAACGTCAAGAGATTCATCTGGCCGTTGGTTGAAGATGAATTTACCAATTAAAAGATCATTTTCTTTATGCACGTTCGTCTACGATCCACACTTTAATCTCCACGGCGGCAAAAAGCATTTAGTGACTTTAAAAGTGATTAGTAATAAATTGTTATTACTGTGTTGACTGTGTGTGTGCACGCTGCTTATACGCTGTTTATAGTCTTGAATAGAACAAAAGTGTGTAGGAGCCAAGTCCTCAATGAAGTGCAGTTCAAATACAGTTTATTAAATCACCCTATTTAAATGTTGTGTAATGAAGGAAATATCTCACAAGCAGTTATTAAATCACCCTATTTAAATGTTGTATCTCACAAGCACTTGCTACAGTCTAACGTTTGTCAGTCGACAACGGACCGCTTTTTCACTCATTACTATTGAAATATAGAAGAGAAGTCAGCAAGAAAAACTGTCTAGAAATTGGTTGGAATTTTTCTCAATAGACGTAGCTTAATACATGAAAGAAAATATACGTCTCTCTTTTGTGTCACAAGGCATTAAATACATTTTTTTGCACAGACCTCTGAAACCGAACCTGGCTGGGATGTTACAAACAGCAGAAAAAACATTATTCAGCAGCAAAGACGGACCTTTTATTACCGCACACATCCAGGCTGACCACAACCTCCAGTCAGCAGGTTACCTTCTAAACAGTGTGGCTCTCAGAGGGCTATAATCTGGTGCCGGTCATCGCTGTAATCCCTGTAATCTTCCTGCATTTGCAGCACGGCCGTGCAACTACTGACAGGCACACGCGAATGAAGTGACGCTAAAAAAACAAACCGTAAGCTTCTTCTCTGGTCACACACCGACTTGAGAATGAAAAAAAAAACGAGAGGCAGTGTGGCCAAAGGCAGTGGAGGAGGATGAGTGACAGAACTGACAAAGAGAAAAGGAGGCACGAGTGTGTGGATGAAAATAGGACAAAATCTGAGAAAAAGAGAAAAAAGAGGATGAGGTCGAAGCAGGAGGCTGAGTGTGAAAGGAAGATAAAATGTAGAGACACCGTCCCTCAAGTAGACAAGCAGCTTTTTGGCAGCGCCAGTGTGTGAATTAGAGAGTGTAAATCAGACGCTTTGAGTGGAGCCAGACACAGCACAAAATAATGAGAACGTAGAGAGAAACAAGGAGGGAGAGACCGGGGAAGAGCATTTGTTACTGTTCCCTGGGCCTCGGTTCATTTCATATTTCTTTAAAAATGAAAACAAAGTTGTAAAGTTATAATGAGGCAGGAAACACAGGCAGATTTAGGAACAGAGGTAGAAAAAACCAAAACAATCCGAAACCTCCCAGCTGACCGTTCAGTCTGGGATGATTAAGATATGACAGTTAGGGGTGTAAAGATACACATTTGAATTCACTTTAATCGATTCATGATGCACTGACAACATCCCTAATGACTATATGACTGTAGTGATATTGTGATAGTTTTATAAATACATGTGGATGAAGTCACATTCACACCTAAAGTCAAGATGGTTGGAGTGTCTGATCAACACATTCCCAACAAAAGACCAGGATTGATTTTTCTGTAAATATTCTGAAAGCTGTTCACTGGTTGTAAAAATGTCATTCATTGTGAATTTCAATTTTTTTTTTCAACACATCATCTGACATCAGTTCTTAGCAGAGAACTGTTGGCTGTGTGATGAAGAACTCACCTGAGAGTCTTCGATGTGACCTGGAGGAAGCTTTAGTTCCATCCTGGAGCTTCTTTTCCACTGATGATGATGACAGTGATGATGATGACGAAGATGATGATGATGATAACGACGATGGCACGTTGTTGCCAGCTCTGTGCGAGAACACGGTTGATGGCGAGGGTTTTTTGTCCATGCGAGAGGGAGAAGGAGTCAACGACAGCCTTCTATCCAGGGGAGACCGCGCCGGACTGGGCCTCCCGTCCTGAGAGGACGGAGGGGTGACGGAGCGCGGCGTGGAGGGTCCGCTATTGGCACGACCGTTCGTGAGCTTCTCCCCGGATCGTTGAGAAGCTGGAGGAGTGAAGCAGGGAGGTTTGAGGGAGGGGGACGAAGACGACGGAGAGTTCGAGCTGAGGCGCACGTGAGACGCAGAGTCGCCTCTGCTGAGGCAGGGCATCTTCTCCAGGCTGACGACAGGAAGTGATACACTGGAGAAAAGAGTAAACGACAAAAGTGTGAATTTGATGAGTAATGATGAGTAATGTCGAGTAATGTCGAGTAATGTCGGCTGTGGCAGCAAATCAGGGCATTAAAACAAAGAGAGATATGTCAAATAAAAAACATAAATCAAAGGCAATCAGAATAAAGAAAAAAGTTGAGTTAAAACATTGGCTGATCCTGGAATTTTCAGAAAAACAAATGAATGCAGAGAATAGTTTTTCATAAAGAAAGTGTCCAATAGGTGGCACTTCTCTTGTTTCTACCATTCACAGGTCACATAAATTGGAAAAAGAAAAAAAGTTAAAACATTTCAAGGTCAAACATGTCCTGTTTCCTTGGAATTTTACGTAGTTTTCAATAAAAATATGAATAAGGAAGATGTAATTCAACCCACCATGGTTTGTTCCGCGCCCCCTTGGGTGGGTAGACAGCCAGTGGTGCCTTGTTGAAACGTGAGTGGGGATAATCTTTAGGCACCCTGAAGGCCAGAGTGTCCCCGGGACTGGGAGCCACGGTGGGGGCCACGGCAGGCGCTTTGGGCTTCATGGGAACCAGGGGACTGCGGGAAGGTACAGGGGAGCCATGCCGCTTTTCTGTAACAGAATTTAAGAGAAGCTGTGTGGCCAAGACTAATGACTCATTAAACACACACTTCAGACGAATCACTGACTCATCTGCTGCCGGTAGGTGATTTTTTGGATCTCATTTGCATCGCAGCACCTGAATCAGGCTCTGACTAACGTTGTGTGGAATTTACACCAACAAATTTTCGGTGCCAGATGGCTGTGTTGTAACACTTCAGAGTAAAACTGTGCCAGACAAAAAGGGCAAGTATTTACAAATCAATTGTATGTACTCTAATGAACCGCTTCTTCCACGCCGTCTGAGGCGTCCTAATGTGACAGACCAAGCTGCTACTACGCAGTGAACCAACAGTTTTTAAATACCTTCTGCCCCAGATCTGAATAATCACGAGACACAAGTGAAAGGATGCTGAGACACAGGAGGAAATGTAAAAAGGGGAACAAATGACAAAGGCTGGGGGGGGAGGGAAGGTTTCACGCAGAGTGGAAAACACACTTACGGTTTTTGCTATGCATGTCTTTGCAGGGTGCAGGGTAAGGAGGGAATAGGAGGGGTGGTGTGGTCCAGGACTGTTTGTCTCTCTGTCTGTCTCACAGGGAAACTACACCCCAACTACCTGGATGGAAACAGAGGGTTGAAAACGTCACAGATAGAGAAACGAGGCGGGGGAAATACACACACCCACAAACAGAGATAATATTGCAGATATGAATAACTTTAGTGTTGTGTCACACCATGTCAGCAGCTCTCGCCAAAACAGGTAAAAACACCCATCGTCACAATTCCACCGAAGGGGAAAACTGTTGAACAGAGGCTGTTGATGTACAGTAGGAATCAGACTAGCTGTTCTGCTGATGTAAAGTCGATGAAAAACTGCAGGAGGCACTGGCGCCATGACATACACTCTACTTCTACATTTATTTATTTGGAGCTAAATTTAGCTGTTACTCATGCTGTTTAAATGTGGCCAAAACCACACGTGTCAACATTATGGTCTCACTCCTGACTAAACAGACGAATGTAAAATATCTCAAACTGTCAACAAATATCTCAACAAAAAGCCTCGCCTTTATATGGATACCGTGTGTCAACAAATATCTCAAGAAAAAGCCTCGCCTTTATATGGATACGGTGTGAAAAGTTTAGTTTAAGTATTGTTTTTGATAAATAAATATTGCAGTATCATCAATAAAGACAGTAAGATTTGATTAAACAAACAGATCTTAATGGTTTTAATAAACTTTTTCACTGTTTCAACAACAAATTTAAAGCCACAACATTTTTTTTTCATATGTGTGCACATGGGAACTAATAATCCTGTAATATTAATGTAAATAAAAAGATAAAATGAAAAAAAAAATGAAAAAGTTACTGGAAAAAACTCCACCATTACACATATACACAGTGGCTTCAGCCAGTATTCAGAATTTCCACACTTTTACTTTTTTTCAGTAAAAGCAAGTTCACTCGTTATTATTAATTTTTATTAACTTCTACTGAAAATGTTTGGACATTTTTTCCAGCTTTAATTCAGTTAATTGTAATTAATTTACAGCTTCACTGTGATTAATCAAATATGTTTTCCTCGTATGTGTATATTTATATACATATCCTTTGGTGAATAGCAAAGACCAGTGGGATATGTCATTAAAAAGTATTGTAATTAGTGTACAGATCTCTAATTGCCTTACAGTAGGTATAAAGTGAACATTAAAAAGTATTGTAATTAGTGTACAGGTAGATCTCTAATTGCCTTACAGTATGTATAAAGTGAAGGTGCTGAGTAGACAAAACCGACTATTGTTGTTACCGACTGTGTGTATGCTAAAAAGACCATCAGTATTTGTCCTTATAATTTGTTTGCAAAGGGTTGTTGTGTGCACTAGGGATTAGCCACGATATGCAAAAATCTAACCGGTCAGAGTGTGTGTGTGTGTGTGTGTGTCACCATGCACATGCTGTAACTTGACTCAATGTAAAAGCTTTTTTGTGCAGCAATGTGCAGGTGCAGCACACTGAGAAAGTACTGTGAACACAACGTAGATATATGAAGATGCTATGCGCAGGAGAGTGATTAGCATAAGTGAGCATATGTGGCAGGTGTGTAAATAGGCCAGTGGAAGTGGAGGGCAGCTGTGCTCATAGGAGAGTGATCAAAGTCCGAGGCTACATTCACAGGTATGTAGCTGTCACAGAGCAACGTTTCCCCCATTTGAACGCAAACTGTACAAAGCTAACACATCATTACGTACTTTAGCTAGCATCACAGATCAACAAAGACACTGTGTAGTGGAGATTAGTAGGAGACGGCTGTCGCTGTTAACCAAGGTTTACATATCCATTCAAGCTGTTGGCTTAATGTTCATAGTCAAGTACATCATGTCCTGCAGTACTGCAGTTCCTGAAAATTCCAACAGAGGGCAATCCAAGCACTTTTTGCATGTTATATCATGCATATCTTTTTTGTTTAGCTATTAGCAAGCAAGCTAAATACTCCAGCTATGAGTACAAATACATCAGCAGAGCAATTTTTTAAGTTGTGGCGTGCACATTATTATCAGTTGTAAATTTATGTTTTTAGCCTAAAAGTAAAGCATTTTAATCCGTAGCTTGATTTACGAGGTAATAAAAGACTATAAGTACACGGTAAAGTTAAATGCAGCAAAAGACATTGAGCACACAGCCTACGTTCTTGTGCTGATGTCATACTCCTGAGCATCAGCAGAACACTTGGCAGTTAAGCTAAAAAACAGCAACTCGGACACACTTGGCAGTTAAGCTAAAAAACAGCTACTCAATGTAAAGAGCTAACACAATGTATATTCAATTGCCTGGATGCAAACACTTATGCAATTTGTTTTTTCGACCAGCATTTTGAGAGGAAGAAAAACTTCTCCTAGCTTCATCTCAATATATTTAATATATGATTTAAATGATCATAGTAGCAAAGAAGCTAACTGAGTAAGTGCAACACAGCAGTAGTGCCTGCAGCAGCAAATTATTAAACATATTAAATAAATTCACAGAGGTTTTGGACATTTCTCGCATAAAAACGTAAGAACTCCAAAAAATATATTCAACTTCTTGGCCAATAGTAATGATGTATCCATGAACAATATGATATAAAGTCCCTTCTGTAAGTTAGGATCTAGCAGAGAGCAGTACGTACTGATTTACAATACATGGACAACAGCCCAGGCAAGGTCACCAAGCCACTCAACCACAAGGGCACCCTCACTACTAAGCTCTCCTGCCGGCCTGCCAGCCCGCCTGTCGTTATGGCAATTCTGAGAGGCCAGCTGACTGCCAATTGGCCGACTCATCCGATGGGCGGGGTCATTGCTCGATCAGGAAGAAGTGGCTCTCAGAGCTCAGCTGGGTTTGTTTACACTCAGAGGGCACAGAGGGGACACAAGAAATAAAGAAGTATGAAAAGTGGGAATATTAAAAGATGAGGGTTTTATAGGTCCAAAAAATTATGTTAATCTTTTTTAAAGGATACAATATGTGACAGAATATTGAGAAAAAGGATGACGAACATTCAGGCTTAAGCACAATGGTAAACATGTGGAGGAGTTCATTCAATTTAATGTGTTGCCTCAAGAAAAGGATTAAGGATTTTTTTCACAGGATATTTATAAAAGTCAGGGCGATGCTTACAGTAGCTGCGTTCATGTTATCAAATTATTTGGCGTGAAGGAGTCAAAATATCAAAAAAAGCAAAGCTTTTTGAAAAACCTCAAGCGATGGCCTTAAAAAAAAATCTACATTTACTTTTCTGTTATCAATCAGCAGATTAGCCAAAAAAAACTCAAAACAAAACATTTTTATGAATAATATTTTAAATATTTTCTGTGCAAATATCCGAGGCCCATGACTGGTAGCAGGCCTGGTGTTTGGGAACCCCTGGATTACAGCTGGGTGAAAAGAGCAATGCTTGATACATTTCTAGCTTATCCACAGAGTACAGTAAAGGAGTTTTTAAGGTGGACAGAGCAGGTAGACATTAAATACTCCACAAGGAAAAAGCACCAAAAATGAGCAACAAGTCCACCACAACTCCTGTTAAGATAAGAGTGGAATTCAACGGAGGGAGAGCATGAGGATTCTCAGCTCATCTACTACTACAGAGAAAAGTTGGACGGCGAGTAGCGAGAGACGGACCCTCCCACCAATGGCAGCAACATAACCCTTTCATCATGCGCTCCACTTACTCACTCACACACACACATACACACAGCAGGCGAGCATCGATGGAGAGGACAGAGAAGAGACAAACTACGAGAAGGGAAATCACTGCCGTGGAATACTGAGCTAACACATGAGAGATGAGGAATTATTTACAAAAAAAAAAAAAAAAACACATTTAATGAAGTGATTTAAAAGCAGAACTATTGAAAATGTACTTGTTCTGCTGTTCAAGAAAATGTCACCGAAATAAACCATTAGTTCCAGGAGTCATAGATGGAAGCAGTTAAAACATGTGTTAGTCGAAAAGGAGAAAACGTCTTATTAAAACCTCAGTCTGTCGGTTTTATTTTGCAGCAAAGAAACACATCAGGATTTTTATTGTCTTGTTATAGAAAGCGTGGCAGTAACTCTTTGAACCGTGACAGAATGATTCTGTATCTTACTGAGGCCACATATGTTAATAATACGCTGCACATGTGGACTGTTTTACCTAAAAATAACCCTGATAAGTGGACACAGTCTCTAATGTATAATATGTTGTGCACATTAACCTTTTAATGTAGCAAACACGTGAATCCTCGCTTCATGTTAGGAGCGCTAAGCGGAGCTGAGCATCAAACTGGACGCGTAACTACGTAGGATCCTCAAAGGGTCGACTGTGCGACTTGACATATCTGTCTGGTGAAAGCCTCTTACTGTGAAGGATCCTCAAAGGGTCGACTGTGCGACTGGACATATCTGTCTGGTGAAAGCCTCAGCGCTTACTGTACACGATGTGCGTGTGCAAACACCGTGATTGATATGCAATCCAGCACACGTGTAATGTATAAAGCACATCTCCAGAGTGAAGTGTAGTCAGGATAAAAATACAGTTTCTGGAAACGTTACTGTCCATTTGAGTGGCACTAAAAAAAAAAAGGGCTGAAGATTAAAACTTAAAAACACGGTGGCTTAAATTTAACCATGATCAATCATGATTAATTGGGAGTAATCAACTGGTTCAGAGGTAACTAATTTATAAAAGTTAACATTAGATACAGTGGAAATGATATCAGGTCACAGTGTTTCTGTTTAAAGAACGGTAAAGACAGTATCACTGGCTAAAACAAGGTGAAAATGACTCACAGTTTTTCTACGAGTCAGCGTGTCACCACAGTCGGCCTGCTGCAGAGGCTGCTCCTCACAGTCTCTGGACAGAGGACTGGTTTGAGCGTGACTTCTCGGGAGTTTTCTGCTCCTCTGTGTGTTTGCGTTTGTTTTCTCAACCTGTTATTACCTGACTTAGTGTGCACTTCTGTGTGTGTTAGGAAATGGAAATGCTGCCAACAATGTAGGGGGTGGGGACAAAACAACAGAGACTGCCAAGTGTCTGCAAGCGCGTGAGTGTGTGTGTGTGTGTACGTGTGTGTACACAAGAGCGCTTGAGTGAGACAATAGCTCTGACCTCTTTCTACAGAGGAACAGAAAGTGATAATGTGTGTGTACATAGAAGAACTCCTCTGGCCTCGGCCTCGGCCTGGCTCTCTGCTCTCCTCTACACTGCTCTGCTCTGCTCTGCTGTGTGTGCATGTGTGCACGTGTGCACGTGTGTGTGTTCATTAAGCACCACCACGTGTCATTCACCCTCCTCCCCTACCCTCCTCCCCCACCCCTCAAACAGACGCCTCGGGCTGGTGCACGTGCCACCGACAGAAGGAGGCAGCAGCCAGTGGGCAGATGCGAGCGCAGTCGGTGGAGCCAGAATCAAAAACAAACAGGGTGAAGACTGACAGGCTGAAGGACCAATGAGAGCCCAGCTGTCTGCTGCTGCTGCTACTGTAGTGAAGGACGGATGAATGGATCCATTTAGCGCTTTGAAATCTGAGCCATTGCTAATCTAAATTTTCAATGGATTGCCATCTACAACCGACTGAAACAGGACCATTCAGATTCACAGCTCCACAGGCCAAACCTACAGGAGGCCAAGTTGATTCATCTTTTTAACACATAATATTTTCCACTGTCTGTTGTGAACTCTGATTTGGATAAAATGTTGGAGTGTTGCATCAATATGGTGAATTTCAGTAACCAAAATATAATATGCAATGAATATACAGTATATATATACATATATATATATATATATATATATATATACACATATATATACACATATATATATTTACACATATATATACATATGTATATTTACACATATATATACATATATATATTTACACATATATACATAAATATATATATACATATAAAATATACATTTGTAGATATTCATACATTATATATGCATATATACATTTTTTCTGCTACATGAGGCTGAAAACTGTAGAGATTATTTAAATGTGTTTTTGTTTTCTTCGGTGTAAACACTGCGACAGTGTCATTACTATTGTTTGTGTAAAAGAGGAAAGTTTTTTTTTTTAAGTAATGGTGTTTAAAAATGTTAGAGAAGTGTGATTTGGGCGTCTACACAACACATATTGTGGATGTGGTGTGAGTGTTAGTGAAATGTGATGTTTCCTCATCACTGCTTCTGTCCATCTTCCTTAGACTTCGCTACTAAGTTAAATAATAATAAAAAAAAAACACAAAAAGTGGCTGTGATGTGGCAATTTTCAAAATTGCCACATCACAGCCACTTTATTGCCACATGCCAAGGCAAAATTTTCTAAATTTAGTTTTACTTTTTTTACATCTCCACTACGGGCTGTAGGCTGTGGATTAATATTGTTGAGGACACTCACTTGCCAGAGGAAAAATAATCTCTTGTCCACTTTGGCAAAACCGTTTAGACTATGTCAGGGTGCTTCAGCCTAATGAATGAATTGGAAACACTTTAACCTCCTTGGCAGCCGGAGCAGTGCAGTTTCTGCCTTTGGCTGCTCCCTGAAGAGGTCACCACAATCGATCATCTCCCTTTATCTCACTTCATGTTTTGCCTCTTCCACTGCTGCACCAACCGCCTACTTCAAAGTCCTCCTTCATTATGTCTATTAACCCTCTCCAGGGCCCTTCTTCTTGTCCTTCTGCCTGGCAGTTCCATCTCTGGCTTCTTTTGTCCAATACATTTCCAATCTGTCTTCAGTGTATGACTCTGACTCCATGTCCAAGATGCTCAATCTTAGCAGTCAGTCTTAAGATAACCTTAATTCTAGTAACTGGTAAGAAAATATACAGTAGCTCTACCAAAATATTGCGATATTTCATTTCACATGATTGATATCCCTTAACACTATCGATCTTTTAGATGAACAACTAACATGCAAATATCAATGGAGTTGGTTCATTTTATTTGGCTTTCATTTCTTCTCCAGCGATTACAAATGTAGATCCCTGTGCCTAAAGTATCACGACATATCGTATCCTTGCTCCTGCATCGTGATACGTATCCCCAGATTCTTGCAAACACACACGCCTAGTAACTGGCTACTCCCTGTCAAAATCTCAACATTTCCAAGTCTGACACCTCCACCTGAGCCTTCTGTTTCCAAAACAGCGCCACAGTCCCCAGACGGTACATCACGGCGGCTGTCAGTTGACAGTCTTGTACAACCTTCTCTTTCACTCCGGTGTCTGCTGTCACGCCTCATCTCCAGTTACGGAGGACTGACCTGTGGTGGTTCATCGCGAGTGTGGCGCAAGGTTGTTTTTTTTTAGTGTGTGGGTTGGGGGGGGGGGGGGGGGGGGGGAGGCAGGCTGTATTCAAAACCCACACTTATCAAGTGAAGAATAAGTGTGTGCACAGCGCTGGGCCTGGTCGATTATTCTGTAAATTATTTAGTGAGTTTCAGCTGCTGTCAGCCTGCTGGGTATTATACTGTGTTTGTTCAAGTGCAGGATGAGGAAATTGTAGTATTGATCTAATTGGCCGTGTTTGTACGGGTCTGCTCTGTCACAGAGCCAGACAGCTCAACCTCTGACTGTGTTTGTGTGTGTGTCTTGTTAGTGTATGATGGTGATGTCGTGTGGGTGAACTGTATATATATATATGTGTGTGTACGTGTGTGTGTGTGTGTGTCTTACCATAGTGTGAGAGCATTCCCTGAGGAGTGACCACCTTATTGCAGACATTGCACACAACAAGAGAAAAATCCTCCAGTGCAGGAAAATGGCTGTGGACAAACATCTCTGAAACAGACCAGAGGAGGGACAGACATTTAGGGACGTCCAAAACATTTGACTTTTTTAAATATTATTTTAATTTACATTATTATACATACAGTATTCTGAAACACAACATACCATTTATGTTGACTATTTGTCCTATTATTATTAAAATTATTATTAAAATTATTATTATATAACACACCAGAGTTATCACAGCTAAAAGGTTTGGTAATTTTAACGAAAAAAAAAAAAACCAAAACAAGCTTTTTTAAACACTGTTGTTTCAAGAGGAAAATAAAATAACAACTTTGAAAGGATGGTTCAACATGATCTGTGATTTAAAATGAGGTCCTTCATGTGTCGTGAAATATGAGTTGTTTCTGTGATCGGGATATTGTTCTGAAAACATTGAACAAAGACAGTGGGTGAGACACAACACCTCTGCTAAAAGGTTTGCTCTCTGTCTCCAGTCCAGAGCGTTAGATCAACAGCAGACGTTCTATTTGCTGATAGAAAACTGATGAAAACAAATATTTAGAAAAAAAACATTAACACACAGTGCAGAACCTGAAACTTTGTGTACTCGTATAATCTCTTCTATTAACACAGGGCTTAGACCAGAGTCACTGAGAGGAGGGCGTGTGTGTATGTATGAGTGCGTGTGCACACACACACTTTGTATTGTATGCTGTTACAACCTTGCATTATTCCTGTGTGTGATTGTGTCCAAGAGAGATTGTGTGTGATGCATTATTCCTGTGTGTGATTGTGTCCGAGAGACATTGTGTGTGGGTGCCCACCTGTATCTGTGTGTGTGCGTCTCAGTGTTGTTTCTGTGTATCTGTGTGTGTGTGTATATGTGTACTAGTGAGTTGTGTGATAGTTTGTGTGTGTGTGTGTGTTTGTGTCTGTGGAGCAGTAACACCTTCTTCCAGGTCTGGGCATGAATCACAGTCTTCTTTTTACAGACTAAATGAAAACACAGTGTACCAGGATGAACATGCTGTGAGTTAGAGTCAGAGTCAATTACAGTCAGACAGTTACAATCAGACTGACGGTCAGAGTGATGTCAGAGTACAGTCAGACAGTTACAGCAGAACCGAAGGTCAGAGAGTGACAGCGTTTCCAGGTGTGTTTAACGTTGAGCTGCAGAGACGATATAATTGTAAACAGTCGCTCCTTATGACTATCGCTGCATTTTCTATCCAAATATGGAACAATTATATCCAGAACTTCCAGAAGTTTGAGCTCAGACACAACACAACTACTTTTCTTTTTCCCTTAAGTGCTGCAGTGCCCCCCGATCCCCTCCCCCCCGTTTTCCCTTAAGTGCTGCAGTGCCCCCCAACCCCCACCCCCCCACAGGAGTCAAATCTATCACTTTGTAAAACACGTTTTCAACATAAACCGTTAGGATTACTGCGAAAAATAAAGCAGGTTGATGTACGTGACAAAAGCAGTCCTTTCAATATTTGGTTTTCAAGCAGCAGACGTTAATAACTTTGTAATGTGAGCTGTCGCAGACACAGCCTGGAAACACTGTTGGCGGAGTTGCTGCCAAGTGGTTTCAGCTCAGAAAGCTGCTTGGCATCACCGCAGTCTGTGTCTTTCCTGTCATCGCTCGCTGAGGAAACCAGCGCATTTTCTTCACAATTAACTGTCACTAAGGTTATACCAAAATTATTTCTAGAAATATAAAGTGATGGGTCTTCTGGTAAATCAATAATGCATTTTCCTCCACATCTGCCAAGTCACATGCAAAGAAAGTGAGCAAAAGTGAACAGTCGTAATGAGTGTCTTTTTTTTTTTTTTAAAGCAGCTGCTAATATTTGCTAAATGAATGACAGGCCAGAAATTTTACTAATAAGACTAACAATCGCAGGGATCTATCACTGGCCAAGGCTAATGTTTAGAATAGGCAAATCAGCCTACAATTGGTGGACAAGTGTTTCGGAAGACGACTTCACACACCGACTGGCACCGATCGGTCCTGCAACGGCAGCACATGGCACAGTATCAAACGGACTGAGGAAATGACCCGCAGTCACTCATCACAGTAGGTTCCTGAGAGCTTCGTATCACTTTTCAACAATCATTGTGTTCACACAGCGCCGGGGGAAGTGCACGGGCCACAGCTGAGTTTGAACTCAGCACAGCAGCGGTAACAGTAAACAAGCTTATCAGCAACTGTCTGGCTGCTTCAGCCACACAAACCCAGGCTGCAGAACCAACTCTACTCAAAACAAACCAGACTCCTGCTTATCCCAACACTCCTCTCAACCACATCTCCGACACTACAGAATACTGAGACTGTATTTGTGGCTAACTTTGAGTTGTTTTAGCCGTTTCTGATGCATATCCTGATACCTATTAACTCCCATTTATTGAGTTTTGAAGTTTTGTTTTGGATAATTTTGACCCACTGTTGGCCTGACATTTATTTATCTTTTGGATTTATATTTATTTAGGCTTTTTTTGTAGAATTATTTTTATATACTTATTTTTAACTTTAAGTTAACTCTGGCTGCACTTTTACATTTTTAACTTTCTCTTAACTTTAAGCTATCTTTGTAATAACATTTGGTCAGGCAGGATTACATATATTGATTTAAATTAAATATTGCTGTTAATAAGTGAGCATAGATTATAGTCTTTAATGACCGTTAGAGAAGATGTTGGCCTTGTATTTTTTTAAATGACTGAATCTGGAACAAAATACATTCATACATATTGCAACAAAAATGTGTGTCTGTGTCTGAGCGTGTATGAAGACCACATGCCACAAAGAGAAACTCAAAAAACATGTTGAAAAGCTGGGTTTTTTTCCCCCCTCTTTTTCAAAAATATATTTTTATGGTCAGAATCCTCAGATCATCAGAGAGTAATTCTGACTCCATGTAGGAAACCAGCGAGAAGACTGAAGTTCTTCCCAGGCCACTTACACCAAGCTGTTTCTAACAAGCCATAAAATATGGCTTTGACGACTGATCACAGACAGCGAAAAAACAACAGCCTGCTAACACTGACGACAAATGACTTCTTTGGAAAGTTGCCATGCTGTAATTGCGATAATTAGGAAAGATTCCATGACAAAAGCAAAAACCAATCCCGTAAACACCTCAGCCATATGGACGACAGACAGGACAAACCACTGGGACGGATGCATGCGTCAAGACAGACTCCACAAAATCACAAACAAAATAATTCAAAAAATATGCCTCGGAATTAGGTTAATTGACCAAATCTGACAATGAGGGTTAATGGTTGCTTTTCTCCGTATACAACGGACCAACTACCAGTCCAGGTGTGGCAGGAAATAGTTTAAAGATAAATTAAATATATATATGTTTTTTGTGACTCAAAATTTCAGAAAAAGCCTAGGAGGTTCCAAAACCTTCTCTCCAGCGCCCCCTTTAAAAGACTGGACTACTGTCAGGCTTCCCTCAAGTTGAGACATTCACAGCTAATGCTTCAAATCTCAATTTAACTCATTTTATTTAAAACACTGGAATTACTTCAAATGGATATTCTCGCAGAATAAAAGAAAATACAAATACAAATCAATGTTCTATCCACTGCGGCAGCATAAAAATAAATAAATTAAACACTAAGTTAATTTGATCTGCCGTGCCCCACGTGCCATAACTCCACGCCCCCCACTTTGGGAACCACCGCCCCTTACGCAACGTTAATAGAGCTTATGCAACATCCTAATCCACCTGTCATGCTGATTATGGTGAACTAAGGCTTCAAACTTCTGGGATCTGCTAAGGTGGTTTCTGGTACAAAATAAATAGGAACCGTTGCCCCCTGGACTCTTATTTTAACACATTTAACACCCCCCCCCACGACCCATCTCTGCTGTGCCAACTCTAACTGCCATGTGTTTCCCCCACGATGCAACATGTCTTTCTGTAGGGCAATTCTCCAGGGGCATTTATCAGAGCATCACAATGGGCATTAATAATAAGCCATATTACCATTTTCAGATTTTTTTTTTTTTAAAACAACTTCCTCTTAATTTCGATCACCGTTGTTTGAATTTCCTCTTCAGGATGCAACAGACACTATTACTCAAAGACAAAGCAGACTCCAAGTCATTTTACTAAGTTACTCACTAAACTAAGACTGAACTGAACTGAGACTTAAAGTGTAAAACTAAAAATCATTAGTTTTACACTAAACCAACTTTCATTTAGATTAGTACAAACAGCTACACTACTATTTCTTATCTAACTTTTCATGTGGTCTGATACGTTACTAAGAGTGTGTAAATATGAGCCAAAACAGCCTTGGGATTTAATGCAGTGGTTTCAAAAGTGGGGGGGAGGACCCCTAAAAAGGCACAGAGCAAGGGGGAGGGGAGGCCAAAGCAAGATGATTAGTAATATCTATCTACAAAAGGGGGGTGGACAATTAATTTTGTAACAAGTACTAAAATATATATGATTCAAATCAGTTCCTGTACTGTCTGATTTTAAAAATAAAATATGGAGCATAACCGCAAACCGCAGGTCCCAAGGATTGATGACTGAAGAACCAGTCATTTACTAGGAATTGTGCAGTTAGGAAGTGTGAGAACCAGACAGAGATAACCATCACGACGTGCTCTTTGAAACACTTTCTGACGGACTGACCTCAGGATCTTCAAATATCTGTGTGCCACGGACTGGCACTGAGTGCTTATCAGGCTTCTAAATGGCTGTAAGTGTATAAAACGTGTGTGTGTGTGTGTGTGTGTGTGTGCATATCACTCTCTGCAGAACTTGGTGTCATGTTACTGGCAGATCAGCAATTCTGGAAACACTGCTCCAGTTTGGCTCTGAGAGAGGAAGATGAGGCATGTTAGAGTGTATGAGTGTGTGTGCCAAGGGGGCGGGAGGCAGAAGCTGAGGCTGGTACTCCACCGGTGACAGTGAGAAGACTTTCCCAAGCTCTGTGTGTGTGTGTGTGTGAGTGTGTGTCAGCATGTTGCTACGAGGGCTGCAGCACGCTCAAACTTTCAGCGATGACTCAAGCGCGATTAACTACAGCTCCTACTCCTGTGGTTACAATACTGAAGCTGGAGAATTATGGAGGAGGAACTCCCCTGGTTCTGTCTCTGGAGGCTGCATGCAGGGTGGAATGAAGGTATTTTGACCGAGTGCCAGGCAAAAGAAAAAACGTGTCATCTTAACAGGCTCTAAAAGTTCCGAAATACTCCAAAGCACTTGTTCTTGTCATACTTCAACAACAATACTTCAAATCTTCAACAATGACACCACACTGGTTCTTCAGATATCCAGTCAGTATTGAGAGTCTCTTCCTTTTTACAATAATACATATCCAGCCGATGCTCGTCGGGATTTACAAACCTCGTCCTTGAGACTTTAAATGTTCTTCAACCACACGACAACTAAAGAAAATCCAACCTGCCAGTTCAAAAACGACTGCCATTGAAGACCAGGACAACCACTAAGGGTTATTATCATTCTGGAATAATCTTAATCAGATAATTCAATTACAGACCGGATTGTTCAATCCTCTATTAGAGTCTCTGCGTTATATAAGTACTGAAGCGTGGACTACATCAGTTACAGAACCATTATCCTGCCAGTGGGTCACAACATATTCAAAGCAGGCGGCGACATTCAGTCATGTCTCCGGTTCATACAAACAACTATTTGAGAGCAGCAACGATCTGTTGCATAAAAAACAGGATCAAACTGTATTATTTGATCATCATGACTAGTCTCTTGTCTAAAGTACTGCCCGTCTACAAAAAAATAAAAGAAAATGATTTCTAAAAAAAAAAAAAAGAAAGAAAATGTTTTTTTAAAATCAATAATGTTCATAAAATCAAAAAAATGAAATGCAGGTAGTTTTACAGCCAATTCAAAGAAAGTTCTATTCATGCCAAATGACTCTTCCCACATCGCTTCAAAAGAAACTTTTGAAAAAACTATTTGAAGAAATCCTTTGAGATTGCTTTTTATTTATACAGTATACTGTGGAATTTTCCACTTATGTTGCCCAACATAATCATCCTTACAGGAGAAATAACTATAGATGTGTCTGGACTCCAGCTACAACTATTCTTAGAAGTTGAAGTTTATCCATGTGTGTGTTTGTGAAATCAACTAGATTTAAAAATTATCAGTTGATACAGATATTTGGAACATCAGTGTTATTCTCATCTTGGTGACTTACATCAACAGAAACCAAATAAAACAGTATAACATTTAGTTACTAAGGCAACAGAGGAGACGCAAATGTAAATATTATGTAAATATTCTGATCACAAAATCAGGTTATAATGTTTATTTAAGTCAGGGTGAAGGATTAGGAATAATGTTGTGTTGGAAAGATGTGGTTTAAAAAAAATCGATCGCAAAATTGCAGGCAGTGGGAATTGTGCCGAGGGTCAAGTCAACAACAAATAGCTATAGATTTGTTGATAAGCAATAAAGCGTGGTGCGTTAACACTGTAAAAGAAGGCAAGGGTCAGGGGTCAATTTTTATTTCATAAATGAAAACATAATTGTATCAGACTGTTTATTATTTACTTTACAGTGCATGGAATATATGGTCTGTTGGCTGCACGTTGCGTTTGTGTCTTGACAGTAACAAGAGAAAAGTATGATGTAATTAAATGTTGCATCAAAAATATCCAGTTTACTGTCATTGAGAAGCAAAAAAAACGAGTTCAGGATGATTAACAAAGGAGATGCTTACTACTATATTTAAGTTGTAAAAAAAACATTAAATTTTTTTCCTAAGACCTCAAAACACATGGGACCCAGTGCATTAGAAAATAGATATCAATAATATGAAGAATTTGTCTCATGTGTAAACATACAAACATAACAAAATCACTGATGGTTTTTTAAAAAATATAATAAGGACTTTTTAAATACACACACATTATGCTACAACGTTAGCATAACACTGACGATCACTTTGCACCAAAACAACAACAAAAACATCAACAACCAGCAGCCTGTCTACTGTCTTTAATTTCCTTACCTTGTCTCCCGATCGGCTGAACACCTTCTGCGTGGTCGCCGTCAGCCAGGGACGAGTCTGTGTCTGCGTCTGCGTGAACACACAAAAATCCACTTTGGCAACAGCAGAAAACGTTCACAACAAACTTTTAGGGGCCATGCGCGCGGTGCAGCCATGCTGCCGTGAGGCTGCTGCTGCTGCTCTCTGTGTAGCATTAGCCTGCTGCTAACGCTTGCTTCACTAAATCAAGTGGAGTGGAGCTGTCAGAGCGAGCAAACTTACAGCTGGACCCTGGAGGCTGTTTTTTTTTTAATTTTGAGTGAACGCCTCGGAGGCTGAGAGTGAGCGGGCGACGCTCGGCTCCGCCGCCTCTCTCTCCCCCCCCGTGCGCGGCTGTCGAAGCAGCAGCTCCATTAATTTTGCATTAGGTTGTAATATTTTCTGACAGTTACACTCCGCTGCTGCTGCGCGTTGACGGAGGGAGCCTGCGTGGTAGTGGCGTTAGTGGAGCTGAGCTCCACTCAACTCAATCACAGACACTTCCACACACTTTTTCCACTCACGGCCAAAAACAACAGCGTCGACAACGACGTCACAACTTACTGTCAACAACACGTAATTGAGCCACACTGACGAAGGAAGACCAAGGCTCGCAGAGGAAGCTGTCCGGACTTGGTATTTGGCGATCCAATGTCGCCATTGCTCTTCCTTCTTGTTGCTCTGCTCTCTCTCCCTCTCTCTCTCTCTCTCTTTCTCGCTCTAGCTCTCTCTGCCTCGTACACAGCCAGCGAAAAACGAAAGAACGAGATGTGGTGATGTCATCGTCGGATAACTCCGGCCCGGTTCGGCATCAGTCGGTGGGCTGAAAGGTTGTTGAAACCTCTGGGAGGACCGAGTCTTAAAATTTTAGTTACAATAAAATATATAAAAGTACACTGTGTAAGAATAGGTACAGTTACTTAATAATAACAATTTCTCATCACATTTACGATATGAAATATTTCAACAACGCTTTAAAGCTGTTCAATCACCTCATAGTACAAGTTATTGTACTAATAAAATCTACAAGTGACGGCTATTAAGATTTACTCCCCGCAGCCGCCATATTGGATCACTTTGATTTTACTTTTTTCTTTTACATACATTTGGTTAATTAGTGACAACTCTTTGTGTAATTCCATTCAGAAAATAATTAAATTCTCACCACTACATACGATATAATTTACCTGTAAAGCAGTCGTCAATCTCACCACAGCGTTGACATGTTTTATAATTATATCTTGAGGTGCTGAACAAAATCAGAACAACGTAGCATTTTTACCCAAACCTAAATGAAAAGCTTTTAAAACGTTTGATGATTTGCGAAAGGCTTTGATTCAGCTCTATCTGATATTTGCCTTGCTCTTTCTTTACTTTTGTAATATTCGAACTGTACACATACTCAGGCAGGCGGTTTATAAAAATAATACATTTATGACTAATAAAATAAAAATAGAATATCACTCACAGTTCAGTTTGTCGTTTTTCTCGCAGCTCAGGAGATGACGAACATAGCACTACACTGACCTCTTGTGGCTAAAAATTCAACTTTATCATTCCGTCGTGTATTGAGGGTGAACGTGGCGGTATAACTAGATTTTCTCTTTCAAGACATTAAATACCAGTGTTTTATTTGACCACCTATTGTAGTTTAACTGATGAACAACAATAGTAACATTTATAACACATTTTGATAATACATTTTCTCTAAAAGTATGGAAACTAAACACCAAAGAGTTAAACATAGAGTCAGACAAATATAAAAAAGAAAGAATTTCCTTTATTAGAAAAAAAATGTACATTGGATTTTTTTTTCTCTTTACGTAACAAAGTGTCCTGTTTGTCTCTCTGGAATGAGAGAGTTTGAAAGGTTAAATGCAAGTTAAAGATATATTGTGCTGGAAAATGATTACAGGAGTGCAGTGGCATGGCCTCACAGCCCGCACTGTTCATTGTTTGTCTTTCATTCTAAGTTAAATGAATCATCCACACATTGAACATAAACATTTATACAACTAAGATAACAAAAAAGTTTGGTTGATTTAAAAAAACAAAAAACAAAAAGATTTAATTACCAAAGAAATAAATAGGATAAGATTAAGTTCATGAGAATAATTTGTCGTTTTATGAGAAAAAAAGTCTTACAATTATGAGACTCAAAATCAAATTAGAATACATGAGAAAATATGTCATAAACAAAACGTAACTCGTCTATTTGGGCGACTTCATTTTTATATATTTGGGACTTTTTTTGTTAATTATTGTTACGACTTTATTCTCAGGAACCATATATTTTCCCTCGTAATTTTACCATTGAAAACATTCATAATATCAGTAATCATTTTTCTCATTTAAACAAAAGAACAATACTTTTACACGAGTACAATCAGGTAAAACGTTTGATCACGTGACTGGTCCTTTGGCGGCGGCTGAATGGATTCAATCATCGATTTTAAAGTCACACTGTAACATAAGTTATGGCTCAACATCCTCGTGGTGCCTCGAAGGACTTCAGGAAAGCACAATGAAAATGTATATTAACTCACACTAGCCCTAAATCCCACCCGAGATTATGTAGTCTTTTTACACATTTAACACGTCTTTTAGAATATATAGAACACTTCATACGGAAGAGGGAGTTAAAGTAAAAGCCGTCACGGTTTCCTACGGTTCGTAAATGTATAATCTGAGACGTTTCCACGTCTGATAAAAAAAATCCCCCAGTGTGGTACACAGAGCCAATGACGCGGAAACCGAGTGAATGAATATTTAAATGGCTCGATCTTTTCACAAGCACGAGTGGTTCGAATCTAAAAATACAGCTGTAATACATGAGTGTTGGAGCAAGGACGGGCGACTGGAGACGGAAAAAAAACCTACGAGTGATAAGATAATTACAGTTTTTACAGCTGCAGCTAATGTTACATTGACCTCTAGTGGTAAGAAGGTGACAAAACCTGCAAGGATTTGGAGTAGTTTTATTACAATAAGGACTAGTTTTTAAATTATTACATCACTATTGGAGTGTAAATGGACATTCAAGGCTAGAGCCTACGAGACGTTTCGCTTAGCTTCTCTGCCTGCAGGGGGTGCTGTTGCACTGGTCCAACGGGATTGTTTATTCAATATGCATCTATTTTTATTTGCACAAAGGTACTTTTTACTATAAAAAAAGTAATACTTTTAAAACTACAGTGATGTTTGAAAAAATAAAAACTTCTTGGAGTTTTAAAAAAGAAAAATTTGGGAATGTAAAGCCTACAGACAGACTTTGGTAAGGTGGGAAACAAACCTAAATCCAGACTTTGGTTTTATTGTGCCCCAAAAACATCACATTTAAAAGGCTTGTGTAATATTAGTGTATTAATAACTCAACAATTTATGACTAGTGTAAAAGGAGTGGTCACCAGAACAATAACATTACATACTGTATTGTCCTGCAGATGCTAATGTTTTGGCAGAAGTTAGTGCTCATTTTTCTCCATTTTCGTGGATAAAAACACTCTCTTACGACACCTGCTAATAGTCAGTTTGCATATTTAATATGTCTGATGTAACTCGTAACTGAAAATGTAACCACAGGTTAACACACCCGGACACAACGGTGCTTTAAAGCTCGTGACATCTGGTCAAAACTGTGCAAAACGTGCTACAGGAAACCACCACGGACCGGCTGTAAAAAAGGCACATATGAAGGATTTTCACACCGGTTTCACACCATCTGGATTATTGTGCACTGGTGTTGCTGAGTGTAGCATTTGGTAAAATAAAAGCTCTTTGAAAGGTCCCATGTTCAATATGTAAAACAAATACAATTTAAAGAAACTATGATTTTTTTTTTTACAATCACTTACATATTTTATTTAATTAATATATTTAAGGCACATTTTGAATGATAAAATCAACTGTCAGTATTAATTAGCCATTTTCTACTCTACATTTTTGTCTAATTATTTTCACTTTGGCTAACCTCTATTTAAGGCTCATAGCAGTTTTGAAGTAAATTAATCTTTGTGCTGTTTTACAGCAGTTGACTTGTCAACAATCTTTAACATTCTGCGCCCCCTAAGGGGAGCCTGCCCCCCACTTTGGCAACCACTGGTTCATTTTTTTTGTTATGTCATCTAAGTAATCCACTTTGGCAACCACTGGTTCATTTTTTGTGTGTAATTCTATTCATCTAATTCATTTGTTGTTGCATATCTAATAACTGAAGTTAGCCAAACACAGGGTTTTTCGGCATCCATATACTAACATAATAATAACATTTGGCTAATATTAGCTAAATGTTAGCCTAACATCTTTTTATCCAATTCCTTATATTTTAAATTTGGTCATTCTTTTCATACATTTATCTATACACTACTTTTAGTGAGACAAAGTTTGCACAATCTTTGACTAGAAAAGTGGTTTCATGGTTCAGTTTTGGTACAATATCGCACACACTGTCTCATTCGGATTTTTTTTTTTCAACTAAACTATCCACTTTAGTGAGACAAAGTTTGCACAATCTTCAACTAGAAAAGTGGTTTCATGGTTGAGTTTTGGTACAATATCCCACACGCTGTCTCATTCGGATTTTTTTTTTCAACTAAACTATCCAAGTTCAGCTCCTTAAGCCCTGAGTAGAAGCACTTTATGCTTACTGTGGATATTTGTGCTATTATTAATTTTAAAAAGACCTCCAGAGAAATACTTTGGGGTATGACGTTTTTGCATTTTAATGCTTTACTTCTGTTATAAATTGTGCAAGAAATTACGTGTCATGAAGTTGTTTTTTTTTTTTTAAATGATCACCTGAAAATGTATCCTTCATCACCTTCTTCTTCATCGTTCATAAAAAGCTGTTTGTAAATGTGTGACTGAGTTTGTAGTGTACCTGCTGCACCTATGCACTTACATGCATACAGCATGAGTGAGATTAGCTGCAGCTAAACGCTGCATTGACGTCAAATGTCGTGTCTGGTGAGTACTTTTGTGTACAACGTTACATATTTGGGCATGTGTCCTGCGTACGTTAGATGGAGGCAGGGACCTGCTGTCTGCCCTGGGCAGACGAAGAGGAGAACTTCTTTGAGTGCCAGCGAGTCTCCTTGTAAACAAACCAAGCGTTTCCAGCCCAGATGAACATGTTGAGGTAGCCGAAGATCTGAAAGAGGAAAAGGAAAAAAAAAGGTTACAGTTTGCATTGAAGATAAAATAAAATACTGAGGACTTTTTTTAGTTAATATTTCACTGTTCATTGTCAGGGCAATGTTCATGCTGCTTCCTGTCAATTTAGCTTTACATATGTAAAGAATCATATCGTCTGCATAAAAACATTTTCTGTAATTGAATGAGTAAAACAGGCTCGTTGGCACGTTTGTAAAAAAAAAAAAAAAATCAAAGCTATAAACTGTCATTCACTTTTTAAGTATCACATAATTGTCTATCAATTAAAGCTAATATATATATATATATACTGTATATTTAAAATTTTACAATTAGTAGAAAAAGTGGCTAAATGCTAAATTTCAAACAGGAAACAGCTACAACTAATCTACTTCCTGGTAAATATAATGAAATAAAATTTTAAAAAAATACAAAGATGAAATAAAATAACAGTCCATAAGGCTGAAAGGGCCTAAAGGTTAGCCAGAAGATAACTAAAGGTTATCCAAGGAAAAGCTAAAATTTAATTCTGTAAATGTTCAACCAAAGTCATTCAAACAACAGTTCTGAGGAACGATCTTCTCACCACAGAGAAGTTGAGGCCTCTCATGACGGCGAACTCCGTGACCTTGCAGGTGGTGTTTCCTCCCTGACAGACATCCAGAGCTGCCCTGATGCCTTGACTGCCCGTGGCGTCCTTCACGTTCTGCAGACCCTTCGCCCAGGCTGAAGAGCAGACCAGCCACAGGAAGACCAGGATGGACGTCAGCACAAAATCCTGAAGACGAGGACCAATAAGAGGTGAAGCTACAAACTGGTTCCACCGGTCGACAATTCCCGATGAAATGATGATCAATACTCACAAAAATGGGACCAAAGTCAGAGTCCTTGTAGACGTGCATGTAGCCGAGATAAACCAACAGCGCCACCATGCTGTAGAGGAAGCAGACAACGGCCACGCCCACAAAGAACTCCGATGCAGAGGTCGCGTCTCCCACCATGAACGTCGTAGTGAGCGAGTGGTTACAAATAGTTGTGTTTCCCTCAATCAGTGGGACTTGGCTTAACCTGGCCGTGAACGGTAGGAAGGCGTTAAAGGGACAGTTCAAGGTTTGTTCAATGTTGGTAGAATAAAAGCACTTTTCTTATTGGTAGACGGCAGGTTTTAGAATGCCAGGCAAATAACCATTCAGTATTGGAATCAAGCCGGCAACCCACCAGGTGGCAGACAACAGCACAAACTACTGAGCTTTTGTCACCTTCACTTTAACCAAGGTAATAACTGGCCTAGCCTAGCATACCTTTAATGACATAGGGTTTGCAGCTAGATTCTTTTCACCTAAATTCTACATTCTCACCTGAATGGATAGTGATAGTTAGCGTTGAGCGTTTGGTTACTGCCGTCGCTGCAGAAGATGGAAACGATGTTCGTGCCGGAGAAACCGCCACAACTCCCGAAAGAAAATATGGCCGTCAGCTGTTTGAACAGAGAAAAACAAGTGGTCAAAAAGGAATGTTGTTACACCATCTTTTTTAATTTGCCATACCTTTTGATGATGTTTTAGCTAATCTGGCTAGCTTTTAAAACTGGTTTTGCATTTGTTATTTATTGCTTTTTAATCAGAACTTCCAAACACAAATCTCAAAAAAAAAAGTGCAATCAGAGCAATTATTGTTATCATTTTGTTAAATAAAACTCAAATCTCACTTATTCGCTAAAATACCTGACACTTTGCTTGACTGAAGGACGCAATTTAAGTCCTTAAAGGTCGTGACCTAGTGCTAAGGGCATCCGCAGGATTCTAGAAAGACGTAATTCTGTGTCTCTTAAGATTATTGTGAGATCTAAATGGAGACGTTTTCTTCCACACTGCGTGACCTGCGAGGACGTCCGTTGTCCTTTGTCTCCCACTTCTTTTCTCACAGCAGCAGAGCAGCATCTGGTTCAGGGTGTAGACCTTGTGACACCAATGCCTCTTGCTAAATTCCATTAGTCAGTGTGGTTGCGACGCCACTTAACCCTTTAAATTTCAGTACAAAGAGACGCTGATCACACAGATTAATATCCAGCGCCAGACTCTCACTGATATCACCTTACAGTAACAGGCGTGCAGATAATAAAACACGGAAATCTGTAGTTCGACAGACATGTGTGAAGTCTCTTCATCCAGTCCACGCTCGGTGTTTTCAACACGTTAAGAATGCGCGCAGCTTGTGAACAGCTGAGTTCTTTGATCAAAAGCGCGAAAGGTTTAACAGCAGGTTTTTGACAAGCATTTTCTGCTTGAAATCAAATAACAAAAGAAAAACTCAAGATGTGTTAACAACGCTTGGCACACGTTGGCTAACAGTTACCTCAGAAACCGCTAAAAATTAGCAACAACAACAAAATCATCCAAAGGTTAACCAAGAACAAAAGAGAAATTGGCATAAACACAGAATAAATTGGAGGCAGAAAATTATAGAAATTATACTAAAAAAACAACTCAAGATGAGCTGCTGTTTGAGAAAATTATAGAAATTATACTAAAAAAAAAACAACAACTCAAGATGAGCTGCTGTTTAAGTATAAACTCTTCATACATTCAAGGATATAAAATCTTTCTCTTTCACACACGGACACACACACACACACACACACACACCTCAAGGCATCTCCCCATATGTGTCTCCAGATGTCACTGGCATCCACTTCCTGTCTGTGGGTCTGGCAGACTTACACCACACACACACACACACACACACACACACACTACAGACACACATATAAATCAGTCTCATTCCTGCATCACACACTCGTGTCACTCTCTCATCCATAAAATATATGCTCTTCATACAAGGCCACAGTCAGACGAGACCACATGACTAATCGGAAATTCTTATCGATGCAAATTCAAATTTCAAATCTTTGAAATTTCAAACTGAATTTGAAAAAAACAAACAAAACTTATTATTGATAAAAAACAACAGAATAATTGTGAGGCGGAATTATTGCAGTTACTGCTCATTAGCCAAGTTATGCTGATGACTCAAACCCTGCTCATTAGTACAGCAGCATGTGTGTGTGTGTGTGTGTGTGTGTGTGTGTGTGGCCTGATACAACCCTTATTTAACACATTTCCTTATTCACAGTGGACTGGATGATAAATTGGGTTCAGACAGATCAGCTCCACAGAGTCCAAACACACACACACACACACACACACACACACACACAGAGTAACAATCGGTCATCTGACTCAGAACAAGGCTCTGTGTGTGTGCGCGCTTGCGTGCGTGTGTGTGTGTGTGTTATGAGAAAATAGAACAGCTGTAAGTAGCAGAGCTGTGTTAACAACCCTGGTGTCTTCTGACCCAGTTCTGGACTGTCCATAAGAAAAAAAAAAAACTGGCATCAGTCTCTGACAGTTGACGAGTGGAGACAGCCTGGCTGTGAATGTGTGTGTGTGTGTGTATGTGTGTGTGAGGAGACAATTGTCTCAACCTGGACGTGGAAGTCAATTATTGTTGAAAAGAAACGCATTTAATCTGTAACTGTGTCGTGTGGAGGACGCGACACAGAAGTTGACTCACTGCTCTCTGATGCTAACTCCAGCTTCTGGATTTATAGGGAAAAAAACTGCCAATAAATTACCCAAAGAAACTGCATTATTTGTAAATAATACTTCATTTTCTCCTCTTTATGCCTGTACTTCTTTTGGAGATTTAAAAAAAAAATCACATACTTTTAGTATCGACTGAAACGTGTTTCCGTTCGTGCTTTTGGAGATTTAAAAAAAAAATCACAAACTTTTAGTATTGACTGAAACGTGTTTCCGTTCGTGCAGCAGCAGTGAAATGCTAACCATGATGTTAGCCTGCATTTTCCCAAAAACATTTATAGTTAGGATAGAAATAGCTAAAAGTAAACAGCAATAGCTACATTTTAGCAATAAAAACACTTTCGTCTACGGACAGCTGAAGGGTGATGATTTAAATTCAAACAGAAGTTGCTTTAAGCTAACTAAAATAGCTAACCTTTAGATTTAGGAATACAAAAAAAAAAAAAAAGGCTATATTTTGTATAGCCATTTTGTATCCTTCCAAACCAAAAGTTCTGGGTTCTATTCCACCCATGCTAAACCATTATGCCAACTATGTCTGTGCTTTACCTCTATAACGGGACAGGCTAAAAATGCTTCTTACGACGGAAATCAAAATAACTTAAACTAAGGTGAAGCTCAAAGTTAGCAAGCAGATAGAGAGAATCAAGACATTTCAGTGGAGAAAACAAAATAGCTCAGGGAATAAAAACAATGGCCACATAAAACTCACTCAAGTGCAACAAATGGACCCTGAACCGGACTTTGGACATGGCTGCAGTAAAATATGAAATACACACAGTATCTCCTGGATGTCGGCAGCATGATAAGCCTTTATACTATAAAACCTTGTTGTCTATAAAGTTTATAGACAACAAGGGAAAGTAAAGACAAAGAAAAAAATCTTAAACTTTTCTTGAGGTGTTGACCTCCGCCCCCTGCTGGAACATCATGTCACACCTCTGCCGCCCAAAGAAAAATCTCAAGATACACCCAGTACACACAGTAATGATGCAAAAAATCACAATCATGAATGAGACCTAAAAGCTACAAGTATGAGTAAAATAAGAAGGAAACCGTTGTGAATCCGCGCGTGTTTTTAGCGAAATTTTCACGAAATCTCTCCATGAACAGAAGAGTTTTCGTCAGTGGCTAAAAAAAGGGGAAAATCCAAGAAAGTACTGGACCTCCCTTTCCTATGGCTATGGACACACACACACAGACACACTGATTTATCCATGTACATGCATGTAACGTACCCACTCCACCAGCTTAACGAAGCCCAGCGGCTCCTTCAGTGGCGACAAGTTGAGCCTAAACCCGGTCATCATGGTGGCGCTTCTGATCCACAAAACCGTGATCCGGTTCTTCCCAAACTCTGGATGGTGAAGTCCAACAGGGAGGCAAAGTCAGCAGTGGGAGAGATGGGGGAGTTGTCAAGTCCGGTGACGTAGCCTTGTGCTGTTAACGCTGCAAGAAGTGACCACACTGAGTCAGCCCCGCAAAGTCCTGGAGAAACAAAGACGGAAAACACAAGTCTGCCACCCAGTGGAGGCAAAGGGTGATTTCTGCTGAGACTGCAGTAGAAAACACAACCTATGGAAAGCGGGTGGATTTGCAACAGAAACAGAAGTGGGATAGAAATCAAAAAGTTGGACGTGGACTTCTTGCAGTGTAGCCTGTCCGCCGCTTGGTGACGCGCAAAAACGCATGCGACCTCCAAGACTGAGCGGATGAAGCGCATAAAAGTGTGCCAAATTACGTCATGCCATAAACGATGCTGGAAAACTCGGTCAAGTTAGGATTGCTGAGAGTTTTCCTTTCACTGGCCTTTACACAGAGCCACAAACTGAAACTAGAACCTAACACGAAGACATGACATTCATTTGAAGTAAGACCAGGACGAGGTTTAAGGTCCGTTAACTTCTTCTGAGGAACAATAATGGTATCGGATGTCCCCTACTGAGTTTTCATTGGAGCCATGCGTTAGGAAAACGGATGCTGCCTCCTCCTCCTTCTCTTCCTCCTCCTCCTCCTCCTGCTGACTTGCAGTTCCAGTGTTAACTCCTCTCTGGTGATGTCTTCAGTCTCATGACCGAGCAAACCAGGGATTCTCTGGATTCCGTTGGCTTAAAACGCCCCCACTATCTCACATGAATCAGTTGTCACAATCAGCACGGAGCTAAAAACAAAATATAAGTAGAGACTGTAGTCAGTAACAGCAAGGCAACAACAGGTTTGAAGTACTTCTTTGTATGAAATATTTAAGTTGGACTTACCTCAGATTATTGGCGTTTACTGTTGAATTTGTCACAGCTAAATAGTTGCCTTTTTAAACGTGTCATTTGGTGAGTTATCTTTCGTCATTCCTATTAGGTTTTATGCCCAGAAAGCGCGAAATCAGTGGTTCTTTAACATGATACGTGAGATAATGTTTGTACTTGGGTGCCCTCTAGTGACACAACTGGGAATTGATTTTTAGTTATAGCTGAATAGCCGCTTTAGCAAGGCAAATCTGAGGCTTAACGGGCTGGCTATAAAAGTCCACTTGTTGTACTAAATATAAATACTGGTTTTCCCATTTTTTATTATATTTCAGTAGTTTTAAACCTTGGTTTCCAATACCTCGTTTCACTGTAGTTGACGCACTTTGATTTCAAACGGGCATGTATAATTTTAAGTATTCGAATTTGCTAACAATTTGAATGTTTTCAATTGTCATGTAACTCACCGTTGTATTTTCTGCCTTGATTTTGCGTTTGTGGATTAAATGTTGTTACCAGTGGTAGATTTACTTCGTTTGCTGATAAATAGGCTAATAATCTTTATATACTTTGCTTAGCTGAACAGTGTAGGCTAATGCTAATGCATCTTAATGTCGTGTGCCAATGCAGTTTAATGGTACTTGGAACTTTGTGAGGGTGGCATTCAGTGTAAAATATATGCTGTGATATTTTAATATAATAAAATATTTAAAAAGGAATTTATGAAAAGAGCAGTCAAGTGAAGTAAATGTGAAGGGGTGATCTTTAATCAGTGTATTGTTGACAATATAACATGTCAGGTTAGTTAAAAGTTCACTTGTGTTGAGAGAATTTCTGGTACAACCAACATATACATACAAGAGGAACAACATCAACATAAAGAAAAAAACAAAAGTATTCATTACAGACCATTCGCTCTCTCACACGTACAAGAAAGCCTAAAGTTTTACAGTCACAAAAACAGTCACACTGCCACTTCAGTCAAGCAGTTTTGGATATTATTCAATTTGTACAAAAATGCTCATTCAGACACAAACTACAATACCATTAATAATATCTGTCTGTGGCCAACTCTTTGACATAGTGCCCCCTATGCTTTCAGTCTGCTTGGTTGCTTTACTGTATGTACAAGTGGGAAGGCAGTTGTCGCCATGTTGTTTTCTAAATGAGATTTCTTCATCGTCATTAAAAGAAATCTGAGGTAAGAACTGAGACGGTATCAAAACTGTAAAAGCAAGAGTTGTACTAAAATCCACCCATGTCATCAGAAAGTGAGTGAGATGAAGGTGGGTTGACTGCAGATGGTGAGAGGTAACAAATCAAAACAAAAAACAGTTATGTTTATCAGGCTGAGTTGAAGCAGTTTGGTCTGAACCAGAGGGAGGAGGCAGATCATGGTGACATCAGTGCTTTTTTTTAAAAAAAATTACCGCGTTGAAGTTGGTTGACTCCTAAATGAAGAAAGTTACTGATAATGGCTACCCTAGACAGGAAGTGATGCATCAATATTGACATATTGTCACTGAATCGCAAGTGTACCAGAGAGTTGGAAGATTTTTTAAAAAGGGACTTTTGGCAAAAACGAGAACACAATCATCTCTTCCGACTTTGGAAGTGAACATGTTCTTGTTGTGATGTCATTACATTTTCCCACAGCAACAGAAAAATCCATTAACTTAAAAGAAAAAAATGAGTCTAAGTTAGATTAATGTGTCCAAAAAAAAAAAAAAAATCAGACCGCGAACATCCATACTTTACCATTTACAATTGTTTCTGCTGAGTTTAAGGCAGTGATTATCAGCACCTCTCATTTCCCCTCAGAATTCTGAGACTAAAAAGTAGAACTTGACTAGAACTTTTAATTTTCAAAAAACAAAAAAAAAAAAAAAAAAAACTTTGTCATACCCCAGATTTTGTCGATAGCATGTGTCAAACTCAAGGCCCGGGGGCCAAATGCGGCCCGCCAAGCCATTTTGTGTGGCCAGCAGGAGCTTAAAAATCATTTAGTAAAGGTCCACACAGCAGAGTTTTTTAACCTAAGAAATTTAAAGTTTTTTTATTACACAGCAATGAACAATATTTCTTACTTGAATAAATAATAATCAATTGTAGAAACACGTACAGTCTTAGTGTGTTATGGAGTAGTTACATCTATACCAGCGGTCCCTGACCTTTTCTGTTCTAAGGACTGGTCATCCAAGGACCACACATTACTACAGACCGGTATCAAGGTGCTGAGCATTGAAAAGTCATTAAATTTTCAAAATAAAACATCTTTTAGACTCTATTCTGTTCGTATCAGAGTCTGAATGACCTATTATTTTAAAATATTGACAGATTATCTTCAAATAAAAAAAGTAAGTGGATATGATGATTAGTAAAAGATAAGTACTTTTTTCACTGTGTTCCACTGGTACCAAATGACCTATAGACCAGCACTGGTCTGCGGACCGACAGTTGGGAACCCCTGATCTTTAGAGTCTTCCATTTACAACCGGCCATTCAAGGGGAACTGTATTGGTGATGTGGCCCCGGGTGTGAATGAGTTTGACACCGCTGGTCTATAGCATTTCCACCGAAAGACGTCACTGAATTTTCAAACATTTCTTTCTCTTTCACTTCTTCTTTCTTTTTTTAGATAAGCACAACATTTTGGGACCTGAAGGCTGGAAATTCTGAGTTCTTGTTCAGAAAATTGAGACGACATAACTTCCAACAGACGCAAAAAGACTCACTGTTGTCTTATCACGTTTGTGTCCTTTCAGGGAAATAAAGGACAGCAAAAGTAAAAGGTAGATTTCAACACATTCAGGAACACGAACACACACACACACGAACACACACACCCACCCACCCACACACGTAATAGAGTCAACATTTAACAGATACAACACTCCCGGAGCCACATACCCGAGTTCAATCATCCTCACTCCAAAACAGACAACTTCTAAGATGGTCGTTCTCTCTTTCTTGGTCTTAAATTGTAAATATTGGTTTCGTTGGGATGAAACGTCAACCCTAAAGGTTTGGCTCTTGCTAATCATCGGGGAAAATTAGGAATCCTTCAAACACTAGATGGAAAAATAGCTTTAAAATGCCTTAATTATTATTTTGGAACATTGCACACACACTGTACATAAAATGTATGTGTGTGTGTATATATGTATATATATATATTTACATACACACATACAGTATATATAGGCTAAAGTAACAAATCGGAAATTGAAAGACATCACGCAAAAGTTGGCAAATAACAGGATAAAAGAAACAGGTGCAGTTAAATCACGCTGTGTTTTCAGCCTCCCTGACTACAGCTCACTGTGGGCTGGAGAGGGTTGTGAACATAACTGCACAGATTACAATATATTCAGAGTAGTTAAGGAATATAAAAAAAATACTCCTTATAGACTTGTTGGCCGTTTTATACCTTTGGCCATGACTACCGACTGATGCAGGAAAGACAGGATGGGGGTGAGTTTCTTTATCGTTCCAAAAACATCCTAAATGTTGATGGATTTTTCTGTTGCACCCTTAGATTCTATGCATCTTTATATTATGTACATTTTGGGGAGGTGGTGGGGAGATGGGGGTCAAGGGGTCAGATCAGTGGTATGGCTTTATAATTGTCTCTCAATCAATCAATCAATCAATATGTTCACTTCCTCGTGCAGCTGCCAGGTCAAAGACAATCACCCAAACCCATACAGTATCTCGACGGCTACCTTACAGTGCAACATTCAATTTAGTGCAGCAGCATGGAGAGGTGAACTTTAATATACTTCTCCCACAAACTCATACCATTTCACTGGAGAACAGATCAAGTTTTTTTTTTTGTTTTTTTGTTTTTTGGAAAGGTGGGTAAATAATCTCAACATTTCAGGGTACTGTGGTGACGTCAGGACTGTGGTGGACCAGCAATGAATGTGGACCAGCAGGGCTGATGTCAGAGGCCAAAAAGGTGAAGCGGTGAAGAAGGAAGGGGGTACTTTTTTTTTCTTTGCAGCAGCGCTGGAGACTTAGAGCAGAAGATCTTTCAGCTCACTGTTTGTGAGCTTAGCATTGTCTCTGATTTCATCAAATGTGTACGTCTTCACAATCCTGCCGTTCTGGAAGACTGTGTGCAGCAGGTCCTGTAGAAGATGTTGGCGTGAGTGACGGAAGAAGTAATAAACAGTATTTACATGAACTGAATCAAGATAAACATTGAAATGCTTTATGTCTGTGGTATCCAAAATAGGGGCTGGGCCCTTCCTAGGAGGCGTAAGATTATTGAATTTATACAATGAAAAATAAAAGGTTAAAACTTTAGAACAGAGTGTTTGACTGAACTGAAATAAACTAAACCCACCTGGCCATATTCCTCCAGTTCACCCCTGCCCTCCTCTAAAGTGACAAAGTCTCCACTCGGTGTCTGGTGCAGAGACAGGCGACCTTTCTTTGACCTCTTGTTGGGGTCTGCCACTGGGTCCTTGAAGACATTCACCTTTTCACACAGCACAGAAAACAACAGCACATTAACGACACACTTTTTAACCATTTCTTGGAGTGAACGAAATGCCTTTAAAAGACTGGTGCTCACCCCCAGTCCATTAGTGACTACGTAGCTGCATTTGAATGAACAGTTGAGCAGATCTCTGGTCAGTTTCTGCAGCAGAGCACCTCCAGAACCAAAGCCAATGTTCTCAAGTGACCACCTGTGTTCCTTCATACCTTCCACTATCTGTTGCAAAGAGAGATCACTCAAAACTCATCACCGTCATCATTACCAAACTTCAAACTTTTGTTTTCTAACACACTTCATGTGTTTTTACCTCTTGCAGTGTATTGATATCAACTCCATCTCCTTGTATGACTCTGATGTAAGGAGGGAGAACCTTAAAACCTTGGGAGTTCTCTTTTGGAGGGAACTTTTTACCCAGGATCTCCAAAACCTACACAAGAGCGTAAATAAAGAAAAGAAGAAAGAATAAGGTTAGTTTAGATGATTATTTTTATGGAACTGAAAGGAAATTAGGCTACAAGAGCTCACCTTCAAAACTGTGTCAAGCGGGTTTCCTGAGTCCGGCCGAACCACGAGCGGAGCGTCGGCGCTACGCTTCTCTATCAGTTCCCGTAGATCTTCTCCCCAGATCTTCTCGCAGGCGTTGTAAATGTCGTAGCTGTCGCTGACTATAGATACAGGCACGTTGGGATACTGTTTGACAATGTGCTCAAACGCGTCTTTTTCATGATCCTTTCCCCAGGCTGTGATGGTACTGTGGAGACAATAATTGTAGTCGCGTCACTCTCCCAGGTCACATACAGTTCAGGTTAAAACAAACTGCATTGTCAACGTTATCAATGGCATCATTCTCTTAAACCAGAGAGAGAGAAAAAAAAAAGTTTCAAAGTTAAACGGACACAGTGAGAGAAAACAGAGGTGAAAGAAAAGTGAAAAAGAAAGTAAGAAAACCCTACGAGAACAGGGAAGGAGAGATAAGTTATCTGCGTGGAAGAAAATCTTAAAATAAAAAGAACCAGAGCAGAGTTCATTTAAAGCCCAGCCATTATCTACACAACTGATCTGCTAAGAAGGCTGGAGGCAATTCCAGGCGACCTTGGATCAAGAGAAGAACACACACTATAGTGGTTTAAGTTAAAACGATCTCCCAAAGTCCAGAAAATCGTGATGCTTCAAACTGTCCAGGAGAGGGCAGTGTACTCCACGCTTTAAATACAGTAAGAGGCGTCTTGGTAAAATAAATTATTATTATTATTTTTTTTTTTATTGTTAAGGAAAAAAGATACGAGGTCAGAAAACGTAAAATTGTTTCATTTTTTACTTTTTGAACATTAGTAGAACGAGAAAAAGACCTTTTGAAGATAAGTCATTGAGTTATTGTGTTATTAGAGTTAATACAGTAAAATTACTCCACCCTCTGAGGTGGGGAGAAAAGGGAGGGCAGGTTGTTACATAAATGTTGCCATGACAACTGCTTTTCACATCCCATAATGCATCAGTGCAGGACAGAAGCGCAGTGGAACAACTGCCCTGGTGGTGAGGAAGACGTGACTTGGCGCATGGGAGTAAAGCATGGAGTGAAAAGCAGGGAATGAATGATTTTTTGTGTGTGAGGAGATGTGTGCTAGCATCAGCCGATGGCAACACTGTCCTCTGTCCAATCACAGTCCAGACACAATGATGATGGAGTGAGGCTGACCAAGAGTTATTATTTTTACCACTGTGTGTCAAGCCCTGGGCGCATCATCACTCTGACTGATGAAGTGGCGTAATCAACACCTTCAGCAGTTAATCATCTGTTCAGAAGAAATTTGTTGTTTTAAATCTGACACTCAGTCCTAGTTGTTGAAGAACAAGGTCTCATTCATACTGTACCTGGGTCTTAGCCAAAATGACAAGTCAAAAAAAAATCTGGCAACACTTCCAGGAAACCTTTCTGGAATATGTGAATTAAGTGTCTGGAGAGACTCATAATTTACGCTGCTCACAGCAGCATGAGTTGATGTTAAATTTATTCAAAATCAACATCAATATAAATGCCCCAATGGCAGTATAAGACGGTCATCTGGGTCAGTGTTGTATTTAAAAGGAGAAAAGCCGTACTGTACTACACCATCCTCTCCAGGAAATACTTTACAGGAGAAAAAAAAAAGCAGCTACAGAGGAGATGACCTGTCTCACTGATCAAGGACAGAGCATCAAAAAACACCACGGAAATAAATCACACCTCCAGATCAGTGTGTACTAATGTGTGTGTATGTATGGTTACCTGTGCTCTGCTGCAGGCACTGAGTAGCCTGGCACTGGGTCCTTGGTGCCATAGTACTTTTTAATGACGCAGATGCCAGCCACCGTGTCCGTGCCCTTGAAGTTGACCAGATGGGCGGAGGCACCGATGCCCGCAGTCTACCAGTAGATGGAGAGAAGTATTAAAGAAGAGGAGAAACCGTGGCTTATCGCACATTATATCATGGCTTCAATTCTGAAGGTTGAAATAATCGGAGCCTGAAAGCTTTCGTTCTTATTTTAATTCCTAACACACCCGGTGGTTGGGTTAAAAAGGGTCTATGGAATTATCCATACACTGAAATATTACAATATTTAATTTCACAATCTCATATTGATATTATATAGTAATAATTACGTTTAATTTCACAATCTCATATTGATATTCTATAGTAATAATTACGATCCGGCTTTGGTTCATTTTTTTTCTTCTCTAATGATTACAAATGTAGATCTCTCCAATTTAAGTAACCTGATGTTAAGCATGTAACAGCATTGTGTTATGCTAATCATTTTCCAAGAAATAAATTATTTTAAAAAAATCCACAACATATTGACATGCCTAAAGTATCGCAATATATCATATCTCTTGCTCTTTTATCGTGACAGATAAAGTATCAACAGATTTTATTCCAAAATTCTTTCCTATTGGTTAAAGGGCAAAAGAAAATCAGGCTTAGTTTTTGCAAAAACAGTGTTTTCCAAAGTCAGGAAAGTGAATAAGTGTATCAACCCAGTGGGAGGCGCCTGGTTTGTCAATATAAAACGTCTGAGCCACACTCCCAACACCAGGACTCAATATGTACATGTACATATTGGACACGTACATATTGGACATGTACATATTGAGAAAACAAATAGTATTTAGATGTACCTCCTGTGATGATACACCCCTGTAGCCAAAGTCATGGAGTTTGTACTCTAATCCCTCCAAGTTCCCGGAAGTCTCGAGGAGATACTTGGCGAGGATCTTCTTCTGCTCTCTGGAGTTTGTCGCCACAGTTACAGGGTACCAGATCTGAACCAGGATGGTCTGATGGAACGAGACAAAAAAGAAAGAGAGTGAGAAAGAGAAAGAGAGATTCAAAATACAGACTTGAACCAGAGTTTTGTTTTCATTATGACCAGACCAGTCAACCATCTTTTTGTTTGTTCTTGTACAAAACCCAAAAGCTAACAGACTCAGAGGGATCACGGCAGGTCATACCAGTGCAGTTCTGGGAAAAATACATTCCAACCTTTTTTTTTTTCTTTTCTTGAGTCAACTCAGCACCAGACTCATTTGTTTAAGTCTTGAAAACGAGAGGCTTATCTGTACTCACAACCAACTGTACTGCAGATAACAGAACTCACAAACACACCGCTTGTGACATGAGGAACTGGGACATTCTGATTAACACAACGTGACATGTTGAAATGTCACTTATAGCATATTGATTAATTGCATCAGGTCAGGGACCTGCAGAGACTGTGCTATGTACCCGGGAGGGACCAAATACTTCGAAGTACCTCCCGTCTGGCAGCCTGTGTGGGTTGCAAAGACTCGCACTGTAAAATTCCCCCATTGTGGGACAAATAAGGAACCTAAATTTGAATTAATGAAAAGACAATTAAATCCGAAGAAAAGCGGTAGTGCTAATCTAATCCTGTGTGGCTAAACATGTGGAACCACAGCTAAAACGACGCACATGAAAGCTCATCAACAGCACCAAGACAAGCATTGCGAACTTGAGACAGAGGAATGTGCCGCCATGTTTCCTCCAACAGTGTGTTTGACCAACAGCATGGAAGCAAACGTGGCTCCCCCTCTGCCAACAAACACAATGCGGCGTGTGTTTTCATAGTGTAACTCAGAGTGGGTCACATGCCTTCCTCAGACTTATCATAATCTAAACCATGTGACTGTAGAGCGAGGTCAGAGTCCGCACATCGACACGCACGAGGTCTCGTTGTCAAGGCCTCCTCGTTATGTTGACTCTTCCACTTCGTTTATCTCGACCATTTAACCCGTTATAAAACAATAAACACTAAAATTCACCTAAAATAAAGAGGCTGGAGTCAGTTTTCTTTCATTTTATAATGAAAGGAAATTTTCAAAAAAAAAAAAAAAGTAATTTGGAACATTCAATGGAAAAAAAAACTCAGACATATTAAACACACACACAGTTTAAACATCCGTGTGCCAGTGTGACCTTTACAGGCAATGCCCTAGAACAGAAAAAGACTGAGATTAGTAACCAGAGGGCGACATTAAGGGGAAAAGTGTGTAAAGGAAAAGGCTGAAACCTGACTGCTGACAACAGAGCATAAAATATGAAAGAGAAAATATGTGGAGGGGAAGTGAAAGAGAGTGGGGGGAGAGGGTGGGACAGAGTTTGACCTAATGACGCAGCACAAGGACACAAGACTGACGGTACGGCTAATTTTACAACAAGAATGACTGAGAGACAGAGAGAGAGAGAGAGAGAGAGAGAGAGAGAGAGAGAGAGAAAGATAAAGAGATGGTGTGTGTACAAAGAGAGTGTTTGTGGATGGTGCATGTGTGATGTATCCAAATATAAAATCTTGGCAGGGGTGAGACTTGGACTTGTTTTGGTGTGTTTGCTGTTACACTGTTCTTGGTGAACAGATTTTAGTTAATAAAATTTTAGGCTCATTTTCAGTTGTTTTTCCTTAATTGCCCTGTCGATTGTTCTGTGAAATGAGTGGGTGAAAAAGAAAAACATCTTGGTTCCTGTTTGAACTTTCCTTTACATATAATCCACGTAACTGGTGCAAGACAGACGGCAGCTACTGTTATTCGTGGTAACAATGTTATTCCGTGTCTGCTCCTCGTAATCACAGAGATATAGAGACGTGATTGCGATTTTTTTTTCTTCTGATTTTTCCAAGTGAAAATTAAGCTGAGCGTAAACAAACGTCTGCAGAGAGAAATTTAAATAATTGAAAAATTAATAGAGCGAATCAACATTGTGCTAGGATGCCACAGCTGTACAAGAAGTTTAAACTTCCTTCACTTTTGTGATACAGAGTTCAAAGACCTGCATCATATTCAGAGCATTTTATATATTCTAAATTCCTGCTAACACTTAGCTATGCTAACAAAAACATGTTTTACTCCACCCAAAAAAAAAACCCCAAAACAAAACAAAAATACCCAGAAAACAGTGACTGCATTAAGTGCAGCCTCAACAGTTCCACAGCACTGGGCCCAGTCCTCGTACTGCACCTTTCAGTCGACCTGCATAAATAATTTTAATCATTTCCACAGTGACACTACATCTCTCAGCACTGATGGGGCAATGAGCTGTGTCATGACTGTACTTCAGTGAGATTTAATAAGAGATGGGAGGCGTCAATGGGCCTGCTGCCAAACTAATGCTTATAGCTTTCATAAAACTCTCCATTGTAATATCAAGATCAAGATCAAGATTCAAGATTGGGGTTTATTTGTCATATGCACTTTCAACACATGGTCTACAATGCAATGAAATGCTTGGGATGGGGGGACCGTAGACTCGCTAGGGTAACATAGAACACACAGTGCTAGCAGCATGCGATACTACTACAGGGAATAAGGTAAGAAATAGAGGGAGAAAGGGGGAATAGAACAGTGCAGTGCAGGCAGTGCAGGAGTAGTGCGACACAAGATAAGGACATCTAAGTACAAGATAGGGACATCTAAGTACAGCACAGATAAGAGCATTTACACACGGAGTAAGAACTTGTAGAAACACCGGGGCAAAACATAACACGGGGGTTGGAACATACGCACACACAGGGACATAGGTTATTGCACATATTATATATCAGGGGGCAAAAAAAAAAGTGGCTCAAGTCCATTGTCTGTAATCAATAGTCAGATTAAACAAACAATTTAATCTTACTCAATAGTTCATTAAAGGAAGAAATACAAGGAGGAAATGAATTGTTGTAGGAAGTTAATAAATGAGAACCTAACAATGGCTTTTAACCTGACAAACGTCATTCAGACTGGAAATTAAACACATCAAAGCAATTCTTCCCTAATCTAGTGTTGCATGTTTGGAAATGTAGGACACAAAAGAGGGACAGGTAACAGACTGGGACAGGATAAAAACAAACAAACTGCCTCACATGACTTATAAGAGGACCTTTATAAAACCCACCTCCACCCAGTTCGTGAGCCAGAAGCATTCTGGGTCTGTGCTCTCTACGGTGAACAAAACGTTGCCACGGGGAATGACGCAGCCCTCGGGCACTGCCTTGATTTCAATAGGCAGGTGTCCATTGTATTTCTGCAATCAAAAAAAAAAACAGAAGGACAAATACATGTCGTATCAGCAGACGTGACTGCACGAAACGTTGAATTCCATCACGCCTGACGACACGTTCACAAACTTCAACAACACAGCTTTGTTTAAGGATCTAACATTTTAAGGGTTTCCTTTTACAACATGGGGAGCTTCTTGAAAAAGATACATTTCATTCCTTTATTTGTGTTCAGTGACAGACCATTAGTTTGGGTAAAAATCAATACAACAGTCTTTATAAGATTCTGTCTGTGACTCGGCACATTAATGCGCACAAACATTAGCATGTTGTAGCTTCTGCACAGTCTAATGTAAGAAAAGTGTATTAAGTATATTATTATAATGGGTTTTTTAAGGACCCTTTAACAATCCCTTACGTCCAAAATATATGTCCAGCCTTTCTCGTTGAAGACATCGTCCTGGAAATGTTCTCTGTAAACCTCCTTGGCCTCCTGGATCTTCTCCGGACTCACAACCTTCCCTGCAGAGGAGAAAGCAGGAAAGAACTTGAGAGAAGGCACTGGAATGCTGCCATACTTCTGCTGTCATTATTGTATAAAGACATCAGCTGTTCAAACACACACACACGCAATCGTAATAACTTAATAATGAACTCTAATCCCTGATGCAAAGCCAAATAAACTAAAATTCCCTTTCATTTTGTCCCCACAAGACAATGTGTCCTAAAACAATGAAATGTTCCCATAAGTACCTAATCATAGCAGGAACATGCACACTGTTTTTTGTGGCCATTGCAATTCCTAGCTACTTACTGTTATATCACAGCAATACTCAGTGATTTCTAGTGGTTTTGAGACTCACGTCCCTCAAAGTGTTCAAGTTAGTTCAGTTCACTCAGATTTGGTCACGCCTGCTACTCTCGCCTAAGGTGAAGTAAAGTGGAGGTTTAAATTGAAAGAGTAATTATTTGCCCAAAGAGGTGATTCAGCTAACTACTTACGACACGACAGCCATTGTGACATGTCTACAAACTATTAAGCAAGATTAATTTCTGATATCTCCAGGTTCAAAAGGCTAAGAGCACATGAGGAAACTGTGTTTCACACATTTGCTTCAGGACATTTTACCAAAGACATTCAGATGCTAAAATAAAACTGGTTTCCTGTTAGACAACCCCAAACCAACAGAGCTGCGTCAACAGTGAAACAATTAGAAACCTACTCCAGCCTCACAGTAAATGCTGTAAAATCATCACTGTAAAAATTTGAGAAGAAATGTGTTTGATGCCAACAAAATTATTATTTTTCCCAGGTTTATGGATCAAGCATGCCTCTCTAATAGGTGGCCTTAATCACTGAGCTGAGAGGGACGCTCAGCACAGGCAGCTGGCATTTCAGCCTCCGACGGTGAAAGAGCAGCTGTGCCTTTGTCTTCTCTGCCTCTCTCTCCCCATTTCTCCCCCAGACCTCTGCTACCACACCATGAAATCCTCTTAAGGAACAGGAGGAGGAAGATGCATTCTTTTCTCATTCTTGTTCTTCTTCTTTTAGTCCCTCGCTCTTCCTCATGCCCTCAGGATCCCACATCAACCTCCGCAAATTTGAACATTTTGTATACTGTGTGCACATTACTTTGCACCATTACATTTCTTTCCCATTGGCTTCTTCCTGTTTCACCTCTGGCGCGGTGCCACACTAATCACTTTTGTAGCAGGTAAGGCG